CCTCTGGATCATCGAAAAAGCAAAAGAGTTCCAGAAAAACATCTATTTCTGCTTTATTGACTATGCCAAAGCCTTTGACTGTGTGAATCACAATAAACTGGAAAATTCTGAAAGAGATAAGAATACCTGCTTCTTGAGAAACTTGTATGCAGGTCAGGAGGCAACAGTTAGAACTGGACATGGAACAACAGACTGGTTCCAACTCAGGAAAGAAGTCCATCAAGGCTGTATATTGTCATCCTGCTTATTTAACTTATATGCAGAGCACATCATGAGAAACGCTGGGCTGGAGAAAGCACAAGCTGGAATCAAGATTGCTGGGAGAAATATGAATAACTTCAGATATGCAGATGACACCACCCTTATGGCAGAAAGTGAAGAAGAACTAAAGAGCCTCTTGATGAAAGTGAAAGAGGGGAGTGAAAAAGTTGGCTTAAAGCTCAACATTCAGAAAACTAAGATCATGGCATCTGGTCCCATCACTTCATGGGAAATAGATGGGGAAACAGTGACAGACTTTATTTTTTTGGGCTTCAAAATCACTGCAGATGGTGACTGCAGCCGTGAAATTAAAAGATGCTTACTCCTTAGAAGGAAAGTTATGACCAACCTAGACAGCATATTAAAAAGCAGAGACATTCCTTTGCCAACAGAGGTCTGTCTATTCAAGGCTATGGTTTTTCCAGTGGTCATGTATGGATGTGAGAGTTTGATTATAAAGAAAACTGAGCGCCGAAGAATTGATGCTTTTGAACTGTGGTGTCGGAGAAGACTCTTGAGAGTCCCTTGGACTGCAAGGAGATCCAGCCAGTCCATCCTAAAGATCAGTCCTAGGTGTTCATTGGAAGGAGTGATGTTGAAGCTGAAACTTCAGTACTTTGGCCACCTGATGCGAAGAGCTGACTCATTTCAAAGGACCCTGATGCTTGGAAAGATTGAGGGCAGGAGGAGAAGGGGGTGACAGAGGATGAGATGGTTGGATTGGATGGCATCACCGACTTGATGGAGACGGGTTTTGGTGAACTCCGGGAGTTGGTGATGGACAGGGATGCCTGGCGTGCTTTTGTTCATGGGGTCACAAAGAGTCGGATATGACTGAATGACTGAATTGAACTGAGCTGAAAGTAGTAAGAAAAAGAATAGTACAAAAAATTAAAAAATTTTTGCCCAACTGAGATTCAGCCAGTGTCAACAATTTGCTAGCCTCCTTTCTAGTCTCTTCTTCCCCTCCCTTTCCCCCTCTTCTCCTGTTCCTTTCTCTCTCTCACTCACTCACTTATAGGTATGTAAACCCTCGCTCCAACCATTGGAGGGTCCTTTGTGTACATAATGGCCTTTTTGTCTTAAATGCTAAGAATAGGGGTAGTTTCTTAAATAACCACAGTACAGAAATCTACTTCAGTAAATTTAACATTGGTAAAATACTGTGTCTGTTGTCTATGTTCTAAATTGTCAATAGATCCAATAATGTTGTTTATAGCATTTTCCCTGTCTAGAGCACAGGATTCAATATAGGATCAAATATTGATTTAATTCTCATTTCTCTTTGGCTTTCTTTCATATAGAATATTTAAAGACTTTGTCTTTTTTGACATTGTCATTTTTGAAGAATATAATATTGTGGCATTGTGGGATCTGGTTACCCTGTAAAATCATAATGTTGGAACAAAAGCAAAAATAAACAAATGGGACCTAATGAAACTTAAAAGCTTTTGCACAACAAAGGAAACTATAAGCAAGGTGAAAAGGCAACCCTCAGATTGGGAGAAAATAATAGCAAATGAAGCAACAGACAAAGGATTAATCTCAAAAATATACAAGCAACTCCTGCAGCTCAATTCCAGAAAAATAAATGACCCAATCAAAAAATGGGCCAAAGAACTAAACAGACATTTCTCCAAGGAAGACATACGGATGGCAAAAAAACACATGAAAAGATGCTCAACATCACTCATTATCAGAGAAATGCAAATCAAAACCACAATGAGGTACCACTACACGCCAGTCAGGATGGCTGCTATCCAAAAGTCTACAAGCAATAAATGCTGGAGAGGGTGTGGAGAAAAGGGAACCCTCTTACACTGTTGGTGGGAATGCAAATTAGTACAGCCACTATGGAAAACAGTGTGGAGATTCCTTAAAAAGCTGGAAATAGAACTGCCGTATGACCCAGCAATCCCACTTCTGGGCATACACACTGAGGAAACCAGATCTGAAAGAGACACGTGCACCCCAATGTTCATCGCAGCACTGTTTATAATAGCCAGGACGTGGAAGCAACCTAGATGCCCATCAGCAGACCAATGGATGAGGAAGCTGTGGTACATATACACCATGGAATATTACTCAGCCATTAAAAATAATTCATTTGAATCAGTTCTAATGAGATGGATGAAACTGGAGCCCATTATACAGAGCAAAGTAAGCCAGAAAGATAAAGACCATTACAGTATACTAACACATATATATGGAATTTAGAAAGATGGTAACGATAACCCTATATGCAAAAAAAGAAAAAGAGACTCCGATGTATAGAACAGACTTTTGGACTCTGTGGGAGAAGGCGAGGGTGGGATGTTTCAGGAGAACAGCATTGAAACATGTATATTATCTAGGGTGAAACAGATCACCAGCCCAGGTTGGATGCATGAGACAAGTGCTCGGGCCTGGTGCACTGGGAAGACCCAGAGGGATGGGGTGGAGAGGGAGGTGGGAGGGGGGACCAGGATGGGGAATACATGTAAATCCATGGCTAATTCATTTCAATGTATGACAAAAACCACTGCAATGTTGTAAAGTAATTAGCCTCCAACTAATAAAAAAAATGGAAAAAAAATCATAACGTTGGGCCATTATTTAAGTTCTTTTCTCTCCTTTATTTTAACTTATGTTGTAAGGAAAAAAACACCAAGTTCTTGAGACATAACATCTCTTCAGCCATTATGTTTTTTTTTACCAAAATTATTGGTAGAATAAATTTTGCTAGTGTTTAATTCATACCTAGGACATCTGTAAAGATGATAATGTAGTCTAAAACTCTGATTTTGGTTTTTCTGAAGCTGAATATTTTGTTTCTTGTGTGAAATTTTGCTTCTCTATTGATTTCTCTCTATTCCTGGCAGGATTGTGCCACCTAGTGGAAGTTTATGTCCTTCTGTGTAGGTCTTGAACTGTGGATAGAATGCAAGATGCGCTTTAACAAATTAAGAAAAAGTAGTTTGGCGTGTTTAAGTTTCTCTGTTGACTTGGAGTTCTTTATAACAGTGCCTTCATAAACAAGAGTTTAGGACAAGTAAATTTCTTGTTGAGTGAAGTCTTAGTTCAGTTCAGTTCAGTTCAGTTGCTCAGTCGTGTCCAACTCTTTGCAACCCAGTGAACTGCAGCTTGCCAGGCCTCCCTGTCCATCACCAACTCCCAGAGTTTACCCAAACTCATGTCCATTGAGTCGGTGATGCCATCTGTCTCATCCTCTGTCATCCCCTTCTCCTCCTGCCTTCAGTCTTTCCCAACATCAGGGTCTTTTCAAATGAGTCAGCTCTTCGCATCAGATGGCCAAAATATTGGAGTTTCAGCTTCAACATCAGTCCTTCCAGTGAACACCCAGAACTTATTTCCTTTAGGGTGGACTGGTTGGATCCCCTTTCAGTCCAAGGGACTCTAAAGAATCTTCTCCAACACCACAGTTCAAAAGCATTAATTCTTTGGCACTCAGCTTTCTTTATAGTTCAACTTTCACATCCATACGTGACTATTGGAAAAAAACCATAGCCTTGACTAGACGGACCTTTGTTGACAAAGTATTGTCTCTGCTTTTTATTATGCTGTCTAGGTTGGTCATAACTTTCCTTCCAAGGAGCAAGTGTCTTTTAATTTTATGGCTGCAATCACCATCTGCAGTGATTTTGGAGCCCAATGAAACAAAGTCAGCCACTGTTTCCACTGTTTCCCCATCTATTTGCCATGAAGTGATGGGACTGGATGCCATGATCTTAGTTTTCTGAATGTTGAGCGTTAAGCCAGCTTTTTCACTCTCCTCTTTCACTTTCATCAAGAGGCTCTTCAGTTCTTCTTCACTTTCTGCCATAAGGATGGTGTCATCTGTATATCTGAGGTTATTGATATTTCTCCTGGCAGTCTTGATTGTAGCTTGTGCTTTCTCCAGCCCAGCGTTTCTCATGATGTACTCTGCACATAAGTTAAATGTGCTAAAGTTACCAGCTACTGAGTATTTCTTTTTCCAACAAGAAATACCATTTTTTTTTAGAAATAACCTTATTTTTTAAGGTATTTTAGAAATAGCTTATTTAAAAAAATTTTTTTAAATCAATGCACCTTTAATCAAGGCATACTTCCCTTCCACCAGTTAATATTAAAAGAGTTGTTGCTCTGTGAATCTTTTCAAAATCCTCCCACCTGGATTTTTCTTGTTGTACATCTACTTTGTAAGCAGAATGTATCAGAGCTTACATATTATTTACGGAGTCTCAGCTTATTTTGAAGTAGCAGAAGAAAAATACATTGGATGATGAATACTAAAGAAATGGTCTACAGGAAAAAAAATGCGCTACTTTGAAAATAGCATGAAAATAACTTAGATTTATCATTTGAAGACTTTTTACCAATTGGCCAGATAGGATCTTATTTATATAGAAGTATAATTTACTATTTTATCAGTTGGAGAGTTGATGGTCTCTTTTTCTTATTAGATATGAAAAAGTTGCCTTGTTCTTTGTGAGATATTCAGTATACACATTACTTGGTCTTGAGAAACTTTGTCCCAGGGTTGGACATTCTGTCTAATTGGTGGAGTATGAACTCTTGAGGTCTTCAGAACAGTTGTGTACTATAAAGAATATGGAGACTTATCCAGCCATTTAAGAAAAGTAGTCCTGAATTACAAAATGCAGCCGTTCAGGCATATCACGCCTTTATTAGAGTCATGGATATTTTACAGTGTTTTTATTTCATCATTCTCTCTTAGTTGCTAATGTATATTCACGATGAGTGGATTGGGAGAAAACGCCTTGGATCCATTGGCCCCTGATTCACGAAAACGCAAGTTGCCATGTGATCCTCCAGGGCAAGGGTAAGCAGTTTATTTCCTGATGCTTCACCAAGATCACCTCCCCTTGCCTTTATTTGTTTGGTTTGAAGTTAACATTTCAGCTTTCTGTTATTTGCATTTTCTGGTTAGATTTTTATCGTTTATTTGTTTAAATATATACTAACTGTGCTACTGTAAGAAGCATTTCTCAATGGAGGATGTAGGAGTTACAAATAGATAAGATTATTACAAGTAAGAATCTTTAGTATCCTTTAAGAACATGTTATAAGTTGATATTTTGGCATTTGTGAGGTTTTATCATTCTTTTGCTGAGTGAAGTTAGAAGTTTAAAAAATAGAAATGAAATACTACATTTTATGCAGTGATACTTCATAGCTTTTTTAGTATTTGCCAAGGTCAGTATCACTTAAATTTCACTGTCAGGGTTGCAAAATAAAAAACAACCTTATCATCAGTATAATTCATGAGACTTTACTATTAATAAGTAGTTATTACTGTTTAATTATTTGGTAATTTTACTGTCTCTTTGTGGTAAAGACTATCCCCATTTTCCAGATGATGAAGTGAAGCTAACTGACTAAGGCCACCAGGCTAACAACAGGTGGACTTGAATTTAGGTTTGCACAGATTTCAACTGTATTGTACTAGGTCTCCAAGACATTGTTTGGGAGTCTCTGTGGGCTGAAATTACTTTGCTAGTATATAGATGTAATGGTATTGTGTAGGTACTGATTCTGCTCTTAGCTTGTTTGTGACTGATATATTTATGGCATTTTCCCCCCATTTCCCAGCCTTGCCTGCAGTGGTGAAAAGTGGAGACGGGAGCAGGAGAGTAAATATATTGAAGAATTGGCTGAACTAATATCTGCTAATCTTAGTGATATTGACAATTTCAATGTCAAACCAGATAAATGTGCAATTTTAAAGGAAACAGTAAGACAGATACGTCAAATAAAAGAGCAAGGTAATACAAAGTAAGAAAACACTCAAGTCTTTTAGCAGGAACTTGTTAACTGGGTTCACATTTGTCTTTTGCTCCTTTGTTGCTTAGGTGGGAACTGCTATTCCTTGAGGCTAGTAGTTGACCAGTTTTGCTCCTTAGGACATAGTCTCCAGAATTGGAAGGAGGCCAGGGCTGCTCACCCTGTTATTTGTTAGTTCCCTTTCAGGAAGCAGTGAAATAGTGCTTTTAGTAGGGAAAGAAAATTTAGAGTATCTTCTACACTCCTGGGTAACTCAGAAGTTTAATTTTAACCTTTAAAAATTGTAGCATCATTTTCTTATCAGAAAACATTGTATATGTGCACATGCACATCGGTGTGTGTGTGCCTCTTTGTCCTGGGAACAATTTGAAGGTGCATTTAGACTGTATCTGATATATATGCTATTTGTAGTACTGCCTTATGTCTTTTCAGGAAAAGCTATTTCCAATGATGATGATGTTCAGAAAGCTGATGTATCTTCCACAGGACAAGGAGTTATTGATAAAGACTCCTTAGGACCACTCTTACTTCAGGCAAGTATAAAGTTTTAGGTTTAAAGTAAGCGGTGTTGAATTTAAAGAAAAGAAAAAGATAAAATTTGGGGTAGGATATGAGAGCAAAAAGAAAATGTTTCTTTTCATGGGATAGAACTCGGTATTCTGAATATGATTATAAAATGCTCTTATGTTTAAAATACATGTAACTCATGAGGTCTTATGTACCACCCCCCCCCCCATGCTTTTGGGAATGTTTTTTTATTGGCTCAGACTTTTTTGGTGCATTTTCCCATAATTGATAGTATGGCACTATAATTTCATATTTTGGAGGAATTTTTAAGACTTTAGATATTTTTTGTAAATAGTTGTCTTTAATAGATCTAGTTAATCTGTTGTACTTTACAGGTTGTTTCTCTTATTTTAAGTGATGGCTAGAAGCCCTTTGTTAAAGCTCACTTAGCAGATGTTTTTGTTCTAGTTGGTTTGTTCCAACTGGTTTTTAGTGGATCAGTTCAGTTCCTCTGTAAATTCTCACTAGAGTGCTCTAGTTCCTGTAGCTTGACTTGATACCAGATGGAAAGGGGAGAAGCATTCAGGGTGATTTTTTTTTTTTTTTTAATTTTTAAAAACTCCTTTGAAGAGGTAATTCTTATAAAAATTAGATTATAAATTAATTCAAATTTCACCTTTACTGTCATCTTTTCAAATCATCTGTATTTTTCCTAAACCCTTTATTGCTGTTGCTAATGTTAATACATGATGGCTTTTTAGTTGTTAAATCAGCAGTTTTTTTTTCAAATTCTGTTTAGTACTAAGGCTGCCATAACAAAATGCCACAGGTGGGGTGGCTTAAACAATAGAAATTTATTTTTTACAGTTCTGGAGGCTGGGAGTCCAAGATCAAGGTGTTGGCAGTCTTGGTTTCTCCTGACTCTCTCCTTGGCTTGTAGATGGCTGCTTTCTCCTTGTGTCTTCATGTGGCCTTTTCTCTGTGTGTGTGCCTCACCAGTCCTGTTGGATTAGAGCCCTACTCTCATGACCTCATTTAACTTAAATTACCTCCTAAAAAGGCCTTATCTCCAGATAGAGTCACATTGAGATTTAGGGCTTCAACATACAAATTGTGGTTGGGGAGGGGATACAGTTCAGTCCATAATAGCCAGTGTTAACATATCCCATTTTAGGCATTGGACGGCTTCCTATTTGTGGTGAATCGTGAAGGAAACATTGTGTTTGTGTCAGAAAATGTCACCCAGTACCTGCAATATAAGCAAGAGGACCTGGTTAATACAAGTGTCTACAATATACTGCATGAAGAAGATAGAAAGGATTTTCTTAAAAACTTACCAAAATCTACAGGTAGGTTTTAAAAGTATATTTTCCAAGGAAGTTAAAAAATTTTTTTCTTAATCATTTCTTAGAAAATATTTACTGTTGAAAATCAAGTGATGACTATATAGAACAGGGCAAATTATAAATAGCAAAATTTTCAAATATGAATTTAAAGTTTTTTATATATGTCATGGGTCTAAGATACACAGTGAGTTACAAAATATGTGAGATACCTATTGAAATTGAAGTTATTCCAGTGTTTTATATATTGTCGCTTTGAAATGTATTGTACTGTAGAAGATGTATAATGAGAAAATATATACAACTTAAATTCTTTTTTTCTCTTATTGGCAAATAGTTGATTTATAGCTTAAATTCTTGATAATAGTTATGGACTGAATTGCCAGCTTTTACAAAACTCCTTTCTATTTGTTTTCTAAAGTTAATGGAGTTACCTGGACAAATGAGACCCAGAGACAAAAAAGCCATACATTTAACTGCCGTTTGTTGACGAAAACACCACATGACATTCTGGAAGACATAAGCACCAGTCCTGAGATGCGCCAGAGATACGAAACGATGCAGTGCTTTGCCCTGTCCCAGCCACGGGCTATGATGGAGGAAGGGGAAGGTGAGAGCCATCACATGCCCATGATGTTTTATCAAGCAATAGCAGCCAGACTTGTTTAATTCTTCCTCCTGAATTCCACATTCTTACTCACCTATTGAACAGACTCATCAGAGATTAACTTTTCTGTTGCAGACTTGCAGTCCTGTATGATCTGTGTGGCACGCCGCATTACCACTGGGGAGAGAGCATTTCCATCAAGTCCTGAGAGCTTTATCACTAGACACGACCTTTCAGGTAAAAACTGCATGTGTGGACATTTTATTCATTTTGGAAATTTTTATAAGTTAACTTTTTACAGCCTGTTCTGTCTTTTAAGTGCCCACACCCACTGTCATGAATACTTTGCTTGGATTATTTCCGATGTTTGTTGTACAACCCTGCGAGAGATTCACCAGAACCCTAGGCATTTGAGTTGGGTGTGTTCTACACTTCAAATCCCTCAAGTAAACCAACAAAAAAAAGGTAGAGATACCTGGCTTTCTCTTCAAATGGCATTTCAAATCAGAAGCCGGTATTTCTTTTCTGTATTTCAAACTCATTTTTCATAAACACTTTTCAGAAATGTGAGTAATTTAATGAGAATTACTGGGAGTAATTCTTGACCTCAGGATGAATTTTAATTTTGGACTGCCCTTTTGCCTATGAGAGTAAAGAATGAAAGCCATTGTAGTTGAACAAGCCACAATGATGAAATTAAACACAGTGGCAATTTTCTGTTAATAGGGAAAGTTATTACTATAGATACCAATTCACTGAGATCCTCCATGAGACCTGGCTTCGAAGACATAATCCGAAGGTGTATCCAGAGATTTTTCAGTCTTAATGATGGGCAGTCATGGTCCCAGAAACGTCACTATCAAGAAGGTAAGGAATTTGGAGGTTGATTCTTGATTTCATTGGTCATGTTTGGGTGCTATAGAGCCTTAAATACACACACACACACACACACACACACACACACACACACACACACACTTGATTCTTGATTTCATTGGTCATGTTTGGGTGCTATAGAGCCTTAAATACACACACACACACACACACACTTGATTCTTGATTTCATTGGTCATGTTTGGGTGCTATAGAGCCTTAAATACACACACACACACACACACATACACACGCGCGCACGCGCGCGCGACAGTGGTTGTTTTCACCTGTGTGGGGGAGGAAAATGATTGTTGAACATTGTTATTTTAGCCTGTTCCTAATTTTGGTGAGATTTAGTCTTTTGCTGGATTTTGAGGATGTTGGTCTTGTATATTTACTTTCTTTTTTCTTCTGTATGTGTTTGTTTTGCCAATTGTATTTGCAACTAATAGGATATTTTCCCCAACAGCTTATATCCATGGCCATGCAGAAACCCCGCTGTATCGATTCTCTTTGGCTGATGGCACTATAGTGACTGCGCAAACAAAAAGCAAACTCTTCCGAAATCCTGTAACAAATGACCGTCATGGCTTTGTCTCAACCCACTTTCTTCAGAGGTAATGGTTGATTACTGTGAGTTCTCATGTTAAATGCAGCAGTAGTCTCAAGATGCTTTATTGTTAATGTAAAAAGGGAGAAAAATTAATGAGGAAAAACAGGTTATTGGGTTTGCTCAAGTGCACTTAGATTCCTGTAGTATGATGTTTATTTTTTTAAGGTTACATTTCTATGTGAGAGTGATTTGTTCATTAAATAATTAATTCCTGGGAAAGCTGGAGGATAGGAAGGCTAATATGTAAAAGAATACATAAAATCTGACTATCTGTGTTACTTTTCATTTCTAATGATAAATTACATTACTTGGAGGAATTGAATTTAAAATTTGGAGGTAGACTTCAAGAAGAAATGGTTACTGTTGCTGTTGCTAATAGTAAATGAGCAACACATGAAGGAGCAGGATATTCACCCATAAATTATCTTGAGTAATTTGCAGGCACCTCCAGGTTAACCCCTCAGTGTAGGGGAATTGCAGTAAAACCCCACCAGGGTTCCAGCTAACATAACTTTGGGTCCTTTATGGTGCTCTCATGGTGTCACTCATTTAGATTCTATGGCTTATTAAAATGTATGTTATTAGATTAATGACTAATCAGTATCTAGATTGTTATTGTCACTAGGCATTGGAATGATGCTCAAGAACTTAAGTTTCTTGGGACGCTTCATCTTTTTTTTTTTTGATCAGACTCAGGCTTTTAACACATGCCTGTAATTAACATTTTTAAAATTTATTTGGCTGTTTTGGGCCTTAGTTGCGGCTCGTGGGCTCAGTAGTTGCTGTGTGCAGGCTTGGTAGCCCCATGCCATGGGGGATCTTAGTTCCCCAACCACAGGTTGAACTGGCTTCCCCTGCGCTGGAAGGCAAATTCTTCATCATTGTTCCACCAGGGGAGTCCTCATACCTGTAGTTTTTTAGTGGAACTCTGGTGTTCTGTTTCTTTGCAGGGAACAGAATGGGTATAGACCAAACCCGAATCCTGTTGGACAAGGCATTAGGCCTCCAGCAGCTGGATGCAACAGTTCGGTAGGCGGCATGAGTATGTCACCAAACCCAGGCTTACAGATGCTGAGCAGCAGGACCTACGGCTTAACTGACGCTGGCACCACGGGGCAGATGAGTGGAGCCAGGTATGGGGCTCCCGGTAGCATAGCCTCCATGAACCCCGGGCCAGGCGTGCAGTCGCCGTCTTCCTACCAGAACAGTGCCTACGGCCTTGGCGTGAGCAGCCCTCCCCACGGGAGCCCTGGTCTTGGCTCCAGCCAGCAGAGCATCATGATTTCCCCTCGCCATCGAGGGAGTCCAAAGATGGCCTCACACCAGTTTTCTCCTGTTGCAGGTATTTGTGTTGCTTTTTGTTTTATTTTTAGTGATTCTTTTCTTTGCATACCACTGTAATTCTTGTAATTTATTTTAAAATAGAAACTTTGAACTGGTAAGTAGTGTGTGTTACAGCATCTGATAGTTTAATTCTTTTCCTGGTTTTTTTCCCAAATCCAGGTGTGCACTCTCCCATGGGATCTTCTGGCAATACCGGGAGTCACAGCTTTTCTAGCAGCTCTCTGAGTGCCCTTCAAGCTATCAGTGAGGGCGTGGGGACTTCTCTTTTATCTACACTGTCTTCACCAGGTCCCAAATTGGATAACTCTCCCAATGTGAATATAACTCAACCAAGTAAAGTGAACAGTCAGGATTCCAAGAGTCCCCTAGGCTTGTATTGCGACCAGAATCCAGTGGAGAGTTCAATGTGTCAGTCAAATAGCAGAGATCACATTAATGACAAAGAAGGTAAGGAGGGCAGTGTGGAAGGGTCTGAGAATCAGCGGGCTCCTCTGGAAAGCAAAGGTCATAAAAAGTTACTGCAGTTACTCACCTGTTCTTCTGATGACCGGGGTCATTCCTCCTTGACCAACTCCCCCCTGGACTCAAGTTGTAAAGACTCTTCCATTAGTGTCACCAGCCCCTCTGGGGTCTCCTCTTCCACCTCTGGAGGTGTATCCTCCACATCCAACATGCATGGATCACTGCTGCAAGAGAAGCACCGGATTTTGCACAAGTTGCTCCAGAATGGAAATTCACCAGCAGAAGTAGCCAAGATTACTGCCGAAGCCACTGGGAAAGACACTAGCAGTACGACGTCTTGCGTAGAAGGAAACGTCAAGCAGGAGCAACTTAGTCCCAAGAAAAAGGAAAATAATGCTCTGCTTAGGTATCTGCTGGACAGGGACGATCCTAGTGACACCCTCTCCAAAGACCTCCAGCCCAAAGTGGAAGGCGTGGACAGTAAAATGAGTCAGTGCAGCAGCTCCACCATTCCGAGCTCGAGTCAAGAGAAAGATGCTAAAGTTAAGACAGAAACACATGAAGAGGTAACTTATCTCCTGTATATTCCAGCTTGATCCTTGTATTTCATCTTTTCTGTGTTTTAAAGGCAATGGGTTATACACAAATTCTTACTTTGTCTTTTAGGTTTATTTAATGGAAGTTAATCTGGAACTGTCATTTTTTTGGTAACTCTTCTGAGCATCAGTAAAGTATATTGTGTAATTTAGAAATATTAGATGTATATGCTTTCAAATGTGACTTCACCTTATTAGCAGCCAATTTGAATTTTTCATGGAGGTTTTTGTTGGAATGAGCACATTAGGTCATTATGTGTATAGAAGAAATGGGGAAAAAAATCTTCTGAATTAAGGAAGATAATTTTGATTTTTACCTAAAATCAAGTTTCATGTACATGATCACATTCTGTACAAACATTTGCCAGACACTGTGTAACGTCTCTGGGAGATGTTAATATGCACCTGAGAAAATTAAAGTCTTGGAGAAGTTCTACTGTTAGGATGTCTGTTTAATTTTTTTAGTGTTTCCCAAATGTACTGACCAAAAACCCTTTTTAAAGCATAGCTATGAATTTGTTGAACATCAGCTTGTCTTTATTATTAATCATATGTGTTTTCAGAAGTATGTGTAGAGGCAGATGTTGCTGTCAGCTCATGATTCTGACTAATGTTTGCTGGAAAATATCCTTCAGTTTGAGAATTACATATCTAGAGTAAATTTAAAAAATGCCCCTTTGAAAGCCTTTCCAAACCTATCAATTTATCTCAGTATTTGAATCTGTGTTTTACTTTTAAGGTAGAAGTGTAGGGATAGTCATAATCAGCCACCCTCTACATTGGGCATTACCATTTAGGGTAACTATTATATTTTACTTGTTCCCATTTCATCTCTTCTGATGAATATGTTTATACCTATGTATCTCATAATGAACACAGGTTAACTGAAAAAAAAAATATTTTCAGGGATCCGGAGACTTGGATAATCTAGATGCTATTCTTGGTGATCTGACTAATTCTGACTTCTACAATAATTCCATATCCACAAGTGGTAGTAATCTGGGAACTAAGCCACAGATGTTTCAAGGAGCTAATTCTCTGGGTAAGAAAGAACTAGATATTATTCTTGCCGCCTTTTGAACTTTCCTGCACACCTATGTGTACTCTTACATTAAGACTAGGACCCAACTTTAAAACGTATACTCTTCCTTAGTTTTTATTTTTTTTACTAATTTATAACGTAGGTGCTTTAAAAAGCTTTTTGTACAGTTTCCCATTTCTAACTAATATGAGGCCAGCAATCACAGAGATTATAGGAAAATATTCTTTGGTTGCTACAGGTGAGTCGTAGGTACTAGGTCCCTACTATTCCTTTATTTGTCTTGGCCACAGAGAATCAGATTAAAAAGCAAATCAAAACCTGTCCTTTGATACTAATTTACTTTGGTGTTTGCTGGTTTCACCTAACTTTTTGCCTATAGCTGAGTATTTCTAGATTCATCAGTCTAACAAGGATATATTATGTGTATCAATTGAAAAAGAGTAATCCCACAATTATCTGGAAAGGTGGTTATTCATTTTTAGTGGCACTGTTTCCTCAACTGTAATGCATAGATAGTTAGATCAATCTAATAGATTGGAAAAAAGATTTGGAAACTTTATGTTATAGTCCTTATTTGACTAGAAGCAACTTACCTGGTTATATTTAAATGTAAAATTTTAAACTAAATATGCATATTGAAGAACTTCCAGGACATTGAAACATTGGTGAAATCTTTATATTGAATATAAAGTGAAACTGAATGTGAATGACCATGTCAGGCTGTAGAAAAGTGCCCAATGCTTCAGCCAACACCAGGACTCTTGTTTTTTTACTTTATTTGAAATAAGATGCCTATTTTCTTTATTCTTTTGAATTTCTTTTGGTGCTTAGTGTTTATTTTGTAAAAGAAGACAGTGTTCATTTTGGAAAGAAAGATATTCTTGGGTGGGTGGTATTGGTATTTATGTTTTGTACTTAATTGTGTACTGCACCATCAGAAGATACTTATGTATCGCGCTTCTGTGTTTTTAACAGGTTTGAGGAGTCCACAGTCTGTGCAGTCTGTCCGTCCTCCGTATAACCGGGCAGTGTCTCTAGACAGTCCTGTTTCCGTTGGCTCAAGTCCTCCAGTGAAGAATATTGGTGCTTTCCCTATGTTACCAAAGCAACCCATGTTGGCCGGCAATCCAAGAATGATGGATAGTCAGGAAAATTACGGCTCAAATATGGGTATGTTATTTCTAATTAATATCAGTTCAGTTCATTCGCTCAGTTGTGTCTGACTCTTTGTGACCCCATGGACTGCAGCACGCCATGCTTCCCTGTCCATCACGAACTCCTGGAGCTTGCTCAAACTCATGTCCATCACGTCGATGATGCCATCCAACCATCTCATCCTCTGTCGTCCCCTTCTCCTCCCGCCTTCAGTCTTTCCCAGCATCAGGGTCTAATTTAAATTTCTTTTGGGAAAAGCAAAGTTAAAATACCTGTAGCCACTGAAATAGAGTTAATAGGTTTTTGAATAACAGGAGCATGCTTCTTTCATGAACATCCTTCGCTTATTCTGTGTCTTGGTGATTTAAACTCTCAAGGAGGCTTTCTGTCCAAGACATTTTCTTTTCTTTATTTCTGGCTGTGCCATGCGGCATGTGGAATTTTTAGTTCCACAACCAGGGACTGAACCTGTGTCCCCTGCATTGGGGATGTGGAGTCTTCACAATAAAGCAAGTCGTGGATTTTTTGATTTCCCAGTGCATAATAGTTAGGTTGCATTATACTGTAGTCTTGCTCTTTAAAAAAAAAAAATTACATAGTTTTGGCTGTGCTGGGTCTTCATTGCTGTGTGGACTTACCTCTAGTTTCGGCGAATGGGCACTAGTCTCTAGTTGTGGTGTGCGGGCTTCTCATTGTGGTGGCTTCAGTTGTTCCCGTGCATAGACTCTAGACATGTGGACTTCAGTACTGAACAGCTCCTGGGCTCTAGAGCACAGACTCAATAGTTGAGGCATATGGGCTTAGCTGCTTTGAGGCATGTGGGATCTGCCTAGACCAGGGTTTAAAGCCGTGTCTCTTGAATTGGCAGGTGGATTCTTTACCATTGAGTCACCAGGGAAGCCTGTACTCTAGTCTTTAAGTGTGCAATAGCATTATGTCTAAAAAAGAATGTTGTTGTTTGTGTCCGACTCTTTGCAACCCCATAGACTGTAGCATGGCAGGCCTCCCTGTCCTTCACCATCTCCTGAAGTTTGCCCAAGTTCATGTCTATTGCATTGGTAACGCCATCCAGCCACCTCATCCTCTGACGCTGCCCTCTTCCCCTTCTGCCCTCAATCTTTCCCAGCATCAAGGACTTTTCCAGTGAGTCGGCTGTTTGCATCAGATGACCAAAATACTGGAGCTTCAGCTTCAGCATCAGTCCTTCCAGTGAGTGTTCAGGGTTGATTTCCCTTAAGATTGACTGGTTTGATCTCCTTGCTTTCCAAGGGACTTTCAGGAGTCTTCTCCAGCAACACAGTTCAAAGGCATCAATTCTTTGGCATTCTGCCGCCTTTCTGGTCCCGCTCTCACAACCGTACGTGACCACTGGGAAGACCATAGCCTTGACTATATGGACCTTTGTCAGCAGAGTAATGTCTCTGCTTTTCAACACACTGTCTAGGTTTGTCATAGCTTTCCTGCCAAGAAACAGCCGTCTTCTGATTTCACAGCTGCAGTTACCATCTGCAGTGATTCTGGATCCCAAGAATAGGAAACCTGTCACTGCTTCCACATTTTCCCCTTCTATTTGCCATGAAGTAATGGGGCCAGATGCCGTGATCTTAGTCTTGTTAATAGTTAGTTCTAAACTGGCTCTTTCACTCTCCTCCTTCACCCTCATTAGGAATCTCTTTGTTTTCTGCCATTAGAGTAGTATCATCCGCATATCTGAGGTTGTTGATGTTTCTCCTGCTTATCTTGATTCCAGCTTGTAACTCATGCAGCCCAGCATTTCTCATGATTTGCTCATCATATAGGTTAAACAGACAGGGTGACAGCAGACAGCCCTGTTGTACTCCTTTCTTAATCTTGAGCCAATCAGTTGTTCCATACAGGGTTCTAACAGTTGCTTCTTGACTTGCGTACAGGTTTCTCAGGAGACAGATAAGAAGGCCTGGTATTTTTTTAAGAGCTTTCTGTAGTTTGTTATGATCCACACAAAGGCTTTAGCTTAGTCGATGAAACAGAGATAGATGTTTTTCTGGAATTCCCTAGCTTTCTCTATGATCCAGCAAATGTTGGCAGTCTGATCTCTGGTTCCTCTTCCTCTTCTACCCAGCTTGGACTTTTGGAAGTTCTTGGTTAGCATAATGCAGAAGCCTAGCATGCAGAATTTTAGCCTTGACCTTACTAGCATGGAAGATGAGTCCAATTGTCCGATGATTAGCACATTCTTTAGTACTACCCTTCTTGGGAATTGGGATGAGGATTGAGCTTTTCTAGTCCTGTGGCTGCTGCTGGGTCTTCCAGATTTGCTGACCTTTGAATGTAACACCTTGATGGCATCATCTTTTAGGGTTTTGAATAGCTCTACTGGAATTCCATTGCATCTGCTGGTTTTATTTACGGCAGTGATTCCTAAGGCCCACTTGAATTCAGTCTCGAGAATGTCTGGCTCTGGGTGACTGACCACACCATCGTAGTATTCGGGTTCATTAAGATATTTTTATGGTTCTTGCCTGTATTTTCATCTCGATCTCTGCAGTGTCTACTAGGTCTCTACCATTTCTGTCCTTTATTGTGCCCATCTTTGGGCAAAATGTTCCCTTGATATTTCCAGTTTTCCTGAAGAGATGTCTAGTCTTTTTTCCTTCTTTTGTTTTCTTCTAGTTTTTGTACTGTTCATTGAAGAAGGCCATCTTGTCTCTCTGTGCTGTTCTTTGGAACTCTGCGTTTAGTTGGATGTACCTTTCCCTTTCTCCCTTGCTTTTCATTTCTCTTCTTTCTTCAGCTATTTGTAAAGCCTCCTCAGATAACCACTTTGCCTTCTTGCTTTTCCTTTTCTTTGGGATGGTTTTGTTTGCTGTCTCCTGTACAATATTATGGGCCTCTGTCCATAGGTCTTCAGGCACACTGTTAACTAGATCTCATGCCCTGAGTCTTTTTTTTTTTTTTTTTCAGGTGCTCTGTAGAAACACTGTTTATTCAAATGACAGGCAGGAAGCGGTGGCAGCAAGGGGTGAGGGCAGCCAGGTGGGGGCTGGGCAGGTCAGCACTGCTCCCCTACATCCCTCGTCATCCTGCGTCGACGGCCACCCCGCTGTTGGCACCAAGGTGGAAATACTCGCCCTCCTCGCCCTCCTGTCCCAAACTGAATAAATAGCATCCCTCTCCCCACGAGTGCGGGGAGACTCGCGTGCTGAACTTGGCCCCGCCGCAGCCCAGAGTCAGGGGAGGGCAGAGGCTCAAAATGGCTTGTAGGGAGCAGAGCACAAAACTGCTCTCACCTTCTTCTTCCTCTCCTTTCTCCCTGCCACACGCCGCTCCCAGCCTGGTCCCAGCACAGGTGGTCAGTGAGGGCCTGGAGGGGAGGATTGTTGCCTAGCGCACACTGAGCTCAAGTTCACAAGGCCATCCAGCCTGTCGCCCATCCAGGCTGACCACCAGTCTTATTCGTTACCTCCACTGCATATTCACAGGGGAGTTGACTTAAGTCCTACCTGGCTGGCCTAGTGGTTATTCCCGCTTTCTTTAGTTTAAGCCTGAATTTTAATATGAGAAGTTTGATCTGAGCCACAGTCAGCTCCATGTCTTGTTTTTGCTGACTGTATACAGCTTCTCCATCTTTGGCTACAAAGAATGTAATCAGTTTGATTTTGATATTGACCATTTAGTGATGTCTATGTGTAAAGTCAAGGGTGTTGAAAAAGGGTGTTTGCTATGACAAGTGCATTCTCTTGGCAGAATTCAGTTAGCCTTTGCCTTGCTTCATTTTGTTCTCCAAGGCCAAATGTGCCTGTTACTCCAGATATCTCTTGACTTCCTACTTTTGCATTCCAATCCCCAGTGATGAATAGACTCTTTTTTTGGTGTTAGTTTTAGGAGGTCTTCTAGGTCTTCATAGAACTGATCAATTTCAACTTCTTCGACCTCAGTGGTAGGAGTGTAGATTTGAATTGCTGTGATGTTGAATGTCTTGCCTTGCAAACGTACCGACATCATTGTGTCATTTTTAAGGTTGCACCCAAGTCCTGCATTTTAGACTCTTCCGTTGGTTATGAGGACTACTGCATTTCTTCTATGGGATTCCTCCCCACAGTAGTAGATATAATGGTCATCTAAATACGCCCATTCCCGTCCATTTTAGTTCACTGTTTCCTAAGATGTTAATTCTTGCCATCTCCGGCTTGACTACATCCAATTTACCTTGATTTGTGGACCCTAATATTTCAGGTTTCTATGCAATTCTGTTCTATACTGCATCGGATTTTACTTTCATCACCATCCACATCCACAACTGAGTGTTGTTTCCGCTTTGGCCCAACTGCTTCATTCTTTCTGGGGCTGTTAGTAGTTGTCCTCCACTCTTCCCCAGGAGCATACTGGACACCTTCAAACCTGGGGAACTCATCTTTTGGTGTCATATCTTTTTGATACGAAGCTATGAGCCATGCTCTGTAGGGCTACTGCATATGGACAGGTCATAGCAGAGAGTTCTGACAAAACGTGATCTACTAGAGGAGAGAATGGCAAATCTCACCAGTATACTTGCTGTTAGAAATTCATGAACTGTATCAAAAAAGAAGGTACATACCTTAATTTAAAAACACATTATTGCTAAAATATGCTAACCATCATCTTACAACATAGGGTTGGCACAAACCTTCAGTTTGTAAAATTGCAGTATATGCAAAGCACAATATAGCAAAGGTATGCCTGTGGTGACCTGTCAGAAATTGTTGGCCAGCCCTAATCTGAGAATGACAGAGCACTTTTTTGTCAAGGATCATGTGTCTAATGGTTGCACCTGTATGACATAAGAATTTCTTTCCAATATGGAAAATACCCCATCGTTTCTGTTTTAGGTGGACCAAACAGAAATGTGACTGTGAATCAGGCGCCTTCCTCAGGAGACTGGGGCTTACCGAACTCAAAGGCCAGCCGCATGGAACCTGTGAATTCAAATGCCATGGGGAGACCAGGAACTGATTATAATGCTTCTTTACCCAGACCTGCCATGGGCGGCTCGCTGCCCGCCATGCCACTTCGGTCCAATAGCGTCCCAGGTGCGAGACCGGTGATGCAGCAACAGCAGCATCCGCAGCCGCAGCCGCAGATGCTTCAGATGCGTAAGTAGCCCCTTCACAAGAAAAGAAAAGCTGAATGTTTTAGGCCAACTTTTGCCATTGACTTATTTGAACATTTATCCCACCCAACTTTTTTTTTTTTTTTTTTGCTCCCCCAGGGCCTGGTGAGATTCCCATGGGGATGGGGGTCAGTCCTTATGGCCAAGCAGCACCATCAAACCAACCTGGTTCCTGGCCAGATGGCATGTTGTCCATGGAACAAGGCCCTCATGGGACCCAAAATAGGTGGGGCTTTATTAAGTGGCTCTATAGAGAATGGAAGGAAGCATTGGATTATCTAGAAGAGGGCTAGAGCATAGGAACAAACCTGGAAGAGAATGAGAAAAACTATGAATGAGGTACTCATTGCCATCTGTGTGTAAAATAATGCCGAGACAGCAGGCGGTGGTCGTCACTGGAGAGGGAAGAGACAGCACTGTGTTGTCACCATCAGGACTGCTGAGTGCTCATGCCTAGAGCTTCCATGTGCCACAATTGTCTCTTGTAATGAAACAGTCCTCTTCCATGCAGAGGGGGATAAACTAGCACTAGTTTGACAAGATGAATGGTGCTCGGAGGGTGAGCCTTGGTTTTCTGAAAAGTTCATTATTAAGGATTGGATAATTCTTTTTAAAAATTGTTTAAAACATTTCAGGGATGAAGGTGGAAGTAAAATAAAGCACTCTTCTATTTTTGTTTAAGCCTGTATTTCATTTTTTAGCTTGGTCAGTAACTCGTTTGCATGAAAGAGGCCACCTGTCAATGTCGGCTCTAACTTGAGTTCTACAATAAATTAAGCAAATGGAAATGAATTGATCTGTTGAAAAGATGGAAGTGTAATTACATGAGTTTATTAGCTTGATTGTTTTTCTGCTCTGTAGAGAGCAAATAGTTTCATGACGGAATTTTTCTGAGGCTGGGTATGTTGTCTGGCTCCATGCTCCTGTAATATGTCAGAGAGCTGCGGCATTGCTGTGGGTGTGTGGGGCTTGTCAGTACAGGCGCCCTGTGTGCCGTGTATGAGACAGAGTTATTTTGGTAGATCCCCAGACTCAGTTCAGCATGTCTCTTTTTTTCCCATTCTTTTGTTGATTTTTCCAACCTGCAAGTACCCTAACTGTCACTTCTGTTCTAGTAGGGTCTTGAAAACATTGCCCTCTTCATTCTTCCCATCCTTCTACCTGCCCCTGCCAAATCTCTGCTGTCCTCTAAATACCAAGGGATCTAGCAGTTACGTTTTGGTGGTGGGGTTGGAAGTTGTAAGTTAGATGTGGTAGTTGAAGATGACCTCGTGAGGTTTAAAATGGTGGGTCTTGAATTTAAATTGATGCCACTTGTTCTACTCTGCTGTTCTGTTAGTTTATAATTGATACTTGTATCATTTGAGTTATTGCATGTTAAAAATATTGTGTGGGGTTATTTTGCTTTTTTTTTCCAAAGAGGAAAAGCATCATTGAAGTTGATTCGATGTCTCTTTTTAGGCCGATTCTTAGGAATTCCCTGGATGATCTCCTTGGGCCACCTTCTAACCTAGAAGGCCAGAGTGATGAAAGAGCATTGTTGGATCAGTTGCACACACTCTTGAGCAACACAGATGCCACAGGCCTGGAAGAGATTGACAGAGCTCTGGGCATTCCTGAGCTTGTAAATCAGGTAGGTAGCAGTACCGTGGGAGTAGAAGTGCGTGTGCGTGTGTGTGTGTGTCCCATGGAAGTAGAAGAGAGTGTGTGTGTGTGTGTACCATGGAAGTAGGAGAGAGTATGTGTGTGTACACCATGGAAGTAGAAGAGTGTGTGTGTGTACCATGGAAGTAGGAGAGTGTGAGTGTGTGTGTACCATGGAAACAGAAGAGTGTGTGTGTGTGTGTGTGTGTACCATGGAAGCAGAAGAGAGAGTGTGTGTACCATGGAAGTAGGAGAGTGTGTGTGTACCATGGAAGTAGGAGAGTGTGAGTGTGTGTACCATGGAAGTAGGAGTGTGTGTGTGTACCATGGAAGTAGGAGAGTGTGTGTGTGTGTGTACCATGGAAGCAGAAGAGAGAGTGTGTGTGTGTACCATGGAAGTAGGAGAGTGTGTGTGTGTGTGTGTACCATGGAAGTAGGAGAGTGTGTGTGTGTGTGTGTACCATGGAAGTAGGAGAGTGTGAGTGTGTGTGTGTACCATGGAAGTAGGAGAGTGTGAGAGTGTGTGTGTGTACCATGGAAGCAGGAGAGTGTGTGTGTGTGTGTGTGTGTGTGTGTGTGTGTTTATGTGAGAAGCCACATACGACAGAGCTCTGGGCATTCCTGAACTTGTGTATCAGGGAAGTAGGGGGGTGTGTGTGTGTGTGAGAGAGAGAGAAGCCATGTATGACAGCACCTAATCTTTCCTTTTCCTTATGATAAAGCACTGTGTTCATGGATATGAGCATTAAACTTAGAAAATACTTTTTAACTGTGATAGAACATCCAGCAATGTGCTGTTTTATAAAGATGTCACATTTTAGGCAACCACAGAAATGATCCAGTAAAACCACTATACAGTTTTTAAAATGCTGCTTTTTGCTTATGTTAGTTGAATCCTTATTTTTATAATTAACTTATTTTTACTACCTGGCAGACAAGTGTGTACTCTGAGGAGGCAGACTTTTTGTGATAAACAAAACCTGTTTACAGTGGTAAATCTGTGAACATCTCAACACCACCATCTCCTATTTGCAGTTATCTGTTCAGCTGTATGAAAATATGCCATTTATGAATATTTTTTGAAACACAAATTTTGTAGTGGATCTTTTCATATATAGGATGCATGTTTGGGGGCACTGTTTCAGTCTGTGTGTTCAGTGATAAGCGGGCAGTGATCCTTGGTTCTCAGGCTCTGTTGGGGAAACAGAGATGTATAAAAACATGTATACTCTAATGTGGCAACACTCTACAGACCTTTTTAAAGAGCGGATGAGAAACACAGAGCAGTGGTGATGTCCTCCTGCGGGTGGGCACCAGCCACCTGTGACCCTGCTGGGGAGGAGCAGTGTCCTACTCGCTGAGGGAGGGCGTGAGGGTCACATGAGGACCAAGAAACTAACTGCCACTAGGGTTTTACTGAAGCTGAAAATAGCTTTCTTTGTCCTCACGATAAAATAGTTAATGGTGCTTATATAAAAATCTGACGATCTCAAAAGTCCATGTGTTTTTAAAAAGTTGAACATCCTCCATAATCTTGGGACAAAGAATCATAAGTAACTTTTGAGTGTATATATAAAACAAGAGAGTAGACTGAATATACTTTGGTAGTCTGTTTTACCTTAAGAAAGTCGTCCTCAGTCATCTTTTTTGTTTAGTATATACATCTTTAATGGTCAAATAGTATCCATTTTATTAAACACTATTTAACCAGTTGTCTACTGATGAAAATTTAATTGTTCCTAAGTATTGTTATAATTCTGTGAATTACTTACATCTTGTTAACGGAGGCTGTTTTCTTATCCAATTTCAAGAGAAGCTGGGTTAGAGTGCTTATTTTAGAGGTTTAATCTACATACTCTCAGGGGGTTTTCTGAACGATTGCACAGCTGCTTTTCTACAGCAGGCTGTGACGACTGCAGTCCTGCAGTCCATCGCCCTCACCAGCACTGCTGGCCCGGCCCACGAAGATGAGAGAACCCATGGTGTGAATGAGCAAGTGGCTGGACAAGTACTGAACATGATTGTTCTTTCCAGTCCTTGCCAGTCTAATGGCCAACACAGATTCTTATTTTAAATCATATTTATCTGTTTAGCAAGATTGAACATATTTTGTATTTTTTGGCAATTGAGATGTGTTTAATAGTTCCAATGGGTTTTTATTTTGTTGATCTCAAATGGTGCTTTTTGTTTAGCTGTTGATTTGTTTGTTGATTCCCAGGTGGCTCAGCTGGTAAAGAATCCGCCTGCCAAGCGGGAGACCTGGGTTTGATCCCTGGGTTGGGAAGATCCCCTGGAGAAGGGAACAGCTGCCCACTCCAGTATTCTGGCCTGGAGAATTCCATGGCCTTGAGAATTCCTATAGTCTAAAGGTTGCAAAGAGCTGGAGACGGCTGAGCGACTTTCACTTTTCATTTTCCTTTGTTTAACAAATACTTGTCTTTTGTATGCCAGTCAGCCTTTTCTTGGAGCCTGAGGAGCAATAGTGAACAACTTAATTTCCTGCTCCCTGAGCTCAGGCGTGGGATTACGCTGATAGAAGTAGACATGATGAAGGAGAAGTTACAAGGAAAGGCACGTGATGCTATGAGACCCTTTTATTTAAGGAACCTTTTCTTAGGGTGGGGTGGGATGTTAAAATTCCTCTAAAAAGCATGTTTGCAGGATGACGGTTAACTTGTCCAATGTATTGTAAATAGTTTGCCAAGTTTCTTTTAGCAGGACCTTGTTTATAGTTCATTCTTTAGTTTAAAAATGTTTCTGTTTTCAAATCCAGGTTGATGAGGTAGAGATTAACGGGGGACTGATTGGAACAGGAAAGGTTTTTCTGGAGAGATGACATATAAGCTGATGTCTGAAGGATGAGAAAGAGCCAGCTAGGCAGACAGCTTAGGGGAAGGATAGTCCAGAAGAAGAACGGCTAACTCAAAGGTGCTTAGCTAGGGAAGAGCTTGTGGGTTCTAGGAAGTGGCTGAGGTTGGTGAGAGCAAAGAGGAGTGTATTAGGAAGCCATGAAAGGATTGTCAGCAGAGTAAGGATGAATCCGGGCTTCCTTTTTTTGTTGTAATTTTTATTTTTTAGCAAAATAATCTGTTTTTAAGTTAAAAAGTAAAATGATAGAAAAATATGCTTATGGAAGAACCACAGTCCTTTGCCCAACTGGGAGATAGTGAAACTCACCTCTTTATTTTGATAATATTTCTAAGAAATATGCTTACGCAGCTATTTCTTTTACCAGCTTCATTCTGTCTGTTGATTCCTGGATTTGAAAGTTGACTACATGTTTATAGTCCCTTATCTGAACCTGGGTGTCAGATATGCTTTGAAATTGAGGAATTTGGGGATTTTAGAAGGATAGAATTGGTACATATTGGTATATATTACAAAATACTCTTTATAAAGTTTCTAGCAGTACTATAATTTTGGGGCAGTAGCCTGTGATCAAATGAGCTAATAATTCTACAGCAAAATACATAGTCACACTAAGTGGGATATTATGGAGATTATATATTGCTTCATACAGGCCAGGTTTTGCTGTAAAATACATTGGGTTTTAATGAAAAATGTTCAGTCTTTTTTTTTTTTAGAGCTTAAAATTTCTTTTGGAATTTTAGATAAATTGTATATCTGTATTTATATCCTGTTCCTCCAGTAAGCATCCCCATGCCTCTACCCACTGCATACACATAGGCACATATAGTCTCTACCCTCAGTGTAACTGTGTAAAAAATTCTAAGTTGAAAATAATTTCCTCTTATGAAAAAATAGTTGCATAGTTTCTGGCATCCAGTGTTGTCCTTGAGTTGTATTCCAGTCTAATTCCTCTACTTTCGTGTGCTACCCATTTATTCTCTTTGGAATTATTTAGGAACCTTTTCCCTCTGAAATTCCATGATTCCTTGTCTTGATATGGGTCTCGTTTCATTCATTCTGCTGTGTATTATTAATAGACAGGCAGATATTCCCTTTGGTTTGGGGGCATTTTAAGATATTTCTTAAGTGATTTTGATCTTTTTTCCCCTGATCTTCCTGGGATGTCTGTTGACAATGTTGAGTGTTACATGGGTTTCTGTAGTGGCTTTTTATTTTTTTTTAATCTTCTGTATTTTTAAGTCACTTTCTGTTTGAGTCATTTTGATATTCGAAGCTTTCATCATCAAGTATCTGCTGATCCTTGATTATCTTTTTATATTTAAGAATGCAGGATCAGTTGTCTTCACTGAAAGTGACTAACTTGGGGTGGGGAAACTGGCCTTTATTTTAGATCTCCCCAAATTGTAGCATGTAGAGTTGTCATTGCCCCCACCCCCCATATAGAATTTTATATAGATTTTTCTAGAGAAGACTCTTTCTTCCCTAGAAATTTTTAAATTACCTGGTTGCATTTTGGGGGCTGGGATGGGTAGTCAAAGGCAAGTTGATGATCCTGTAGTGCTTAAGATATAAAATTCTAAAATATAAAATTTTACTAGCAATTATAAGGATCTAAGATTCCCTGTTTTCAGTTCCTGTCCTGCTCCTGCCCTCTTCTGGGCTTGGTGTCCCTGAACCAAGGCCTTGTGGAAGGAGGTGGAAGATACGGCCATTTGGAGCTGGGGGGCTCCCCTGCTCTGTGCTCAGACTCCTAACCAGCCCCTTGTCTGGGCGCACTCCTTGACCTTCTGCCTTCCATAGTGGAGTGCTGCCCTAGCTCCACGGGAGACATTGACTCGGGCCTCAAGAGCATTTTCTTTGCGGGTAGATGGTGTCAGTTTCTCCTTTCTGCCTACCAGATGCCTGTTCAGTTTTTTTATCTTGTTGCCATCAATATTCTCGCTCTTATTTTTTTTTTTTTTGATAAATACTACCATTTAACTTGTTTACTGTCATTTCAGAAGGGTTAGCAAGAGAGACACAGGTGTGTTATATTAATAGTGTGATTTACTTTGTAAACAGAAATGTTAGATCGCTGTCTAGAAGAGGCACAGAGAAAAGGTGTCTTGGGAAGAGTCATGGCAGTGGACTGATAGGAAGAGAAGCCTATCTGATATGTCACCGAGGAAAAGCTGATAGGACTTGGGCTGTGTGTGCACTTGTGTGAGAAGGAGACTGTGAGAAATCAAGGCCTGGCATTTAGTTCTGGGTGCATGATGTTGCCGTGAGTGAAGACTGAAGGAGAATTGGGCTTTTTTGTTTTTTTCCTCTAGGAAGAACTATTGATAATCATGCCTTCTGTCCTCTACATGTTAAGTTTGAGGTGCCTGGGACATCTGGGTAAAGATGTTGAATGGGCTTCTGTGTGAGCACAGTTAGAATCCAAGGCCCTGGAGCTAGAGATAGACACTTGACGGTTGTCACCAGTGGAAGAGAGTACCACAGTGGGGAAGATAGCAAGAGAAGGAGCGCCTGGGGCAGATGAACTCTTAACAGTCCTCCAGGGAGAGGCCCGAGAGGGGTGAGGTGTGCTTTAGGACGGGACTGGGTGAGGGTGTTGACTGCACACGTGGCACCCCGTGCTGGAGGATGAGGAGATAAAGCCAGCGCAGCACTGCCTGGCCTTTCTTAACACTGCAGGCTGTCCCCTCCTTTAGAGAGCTTAGTTTTTCTGCTGGGTGTTACTTTGTATGTGTGGTTAGCATGCAGAGAAGTGATACCTGGCACATATCACTCAATAAATACTTGTTGAATTAATAGGTTTCTTTCTTCTCAGGTACAAATAGTGGTGGACGACTGAACACCTTTAGGTTTTGTTCATGTGGTGACTACACCCTGGGGGACATAAACTGTTGTTGATTTACCTGTCTACTAAATTTACCTCTTACCACCTTCAAAAACACTCTTGGGCAGAGTACATAAGAATTCATTGTTGGTACAGAAATCTTGTTTGGAAGAAACAGTATTTCTCCAGGTACTCAGTACTTTGTTGATATTTGGCTCAGAAATATTCAGGCGTCTCTCTGTGTGGGACTCTGTGCTCCATAGGCACTGGGACACAGCCATTCAAAGATGGCATGGTCTCTGTTCTCGTGGAACGAACTTCAGACAGTAAGCTTGATTTTGGTGTTGAAATCCTGCAGCACCCGTCCTCACATACATTGACTTTATTTTTCACTTCTTTTAGTGGGTTTGGTTTCTGTTGCTTCCCTATGTGTACTTCACAGTTCATTTATGTGTTTGATGTTTAGGGACAAGCTTTGGAGCCCAAACAGGACGCTTTCCAAGGCCAAGAAGCAGCAGTAATGATGGAGCAGAAGGCAGCATTATATGGGCAGACGTACCCCGCGCAGGGGCCTCCGATGCAAGGAGGCTTTAATCTTCAGGGACAATCACCACCTTTTAACTCGATGATGAATCAGATGAACCAGCAAGGCAGTTTTCCTCTCCAGGGAATGCACCCTCGGGCCAACATCATGAGACCCCGAACAAACACTCCCAAGCAACTTAGAATGCAGCTTCAGCAGAGGCTGCAGGGCCAGCAGGTAACCAGTTACACGCCTGTTTCCCTTTGCTGCTTCCTCTTCCGTTTTTGGACTGTATTCTTCCAGCTCCTGCCGCTGGCTCTCTGTCCTTCCTCAACTAAAGAAATTCCTTTTGTTTTTATTGGTGTGTAACATTGTATTTGTATGGACAGTTCCTTGCTAGGGAGTGGTTGTACTACAATTGGATACCTTTCTGTAAGAATATTCTGCTGTACAGGTTGAAAAATAAAAAATATCAGGATTGCTCTCAGGGGAGAGTAGTGTTTCTTGGTGGCTTCATAGCCTTAGAGGTAGACAGTTTTTATTATTAAAATGTCCTTACTATTAATAGACAGGTATTGAAATCTTATTGGCTTCCCTGAGCTCAGTTGGTAAAGAATCCGCCTGCAATGTGGGAGACCTGGGTTCGATTCCTGGGTTGGGAAGATCCCCTGGAGAAGGGAAAGGCTATCCACTTCAGTATTGTGGTCTGGAGAATTCCATGACTGTGTATAGTCCATGGGGTCGCAAAGAGTTGGACACGACTAAGCGACTTGCACTGCACTATGGAACCTGACTGATTTGAGCACTCACTTTAATAAAGAACCTCTGCTTTTTAGATATGTTATAAAACTTGAATTCAGTATCTTTTCCCAGTGTCCCTTAGTTCATAACAAATTTTTAGGGATTTAATTGTTTATATTTTTTTGTATCTTGAGTGTGCAGAGTTCTTAAATGTGGGGAAACTGAACCACATAAGCAGATGAATGAACTGAGAATCTAGCGAGCTGAGGACTCTTGCACTGATGTTCCCTAAGTCAGTGCAGCTACTCAGGAGAGCTGTGTTAATGCGTTCACAGGATCCCTTTACTTCTTAGTTTCTTTCCAGTAAAAAGTACCTAGGAAGAGGCAACAGAAGTAGTTTTCTCCATTGTTACTTTGATCAAATTAAAGCAGTTTCCCCAGTGGCCTAAATTATGACAGAAAATTGACTTTGTAAATCCTTTGAGTTCCTGTTGAAGATACTTTTTAAGGTGTAGAATTGCACTTTCACTTTTCCTCCTGATGCTGAACATGAAAGCCTCCTGTGCTGGCCAGGGGCTTTTCAGCACCAACCTTTTTGAAATGTGAGAGTGTACTGGTTCAGCTTAGCCATAACTTTGCCAGGTTAATGGGTTTAGAGGTGTTGTCACGATCTTGCTGAGTGGTGCCGAGGGTGTAGATAGTTGTTTTGGCCTCATTAATGAGCTCCACTTGCACCCTAACCACCTTGTCTCTCCCCAGTTTCTGAATCAGAGCCGTCAGGCACTTGAAATGAAAATGGAAAACCCCACTGCTGGCGGGGCGGCAGTGATGAGGCCCATGGTGCAGCCGCAGGTCAGCGCCCAGGTGAGGATGTGTCTCTGTGCTCAGGGCTCGGTGCTCCGCACAGGGCTTGGCCCCTGCTTGACTCTCAGGAAGTGCTTACGAGACGGGACAGTGCACAGTCTCAAATCCTTGTGTAAGAAACCATCCCAGGGCCCTGTCACACTTTTCTCCTTCCCTTCGTTTTTCCCTTTTGGTTACTAGCAAGAATCAGAGCAAGAGGTTCTTTTTTTTTTTTACTACTGATTGGTGTTTTTAAAGTTAATTCCCTTTGTGATCACATGCTATGTTGTGAAACTGCTACCACTTACTTTTTAGGGATTGAAAATAATAAATCTGTAAACTTGTCTCTGTTCCTGGATTGTGAAACTACATGCTCACTGGGTAGAATTTGATATAAGAAATCTAAAGAAGAAAAAAAAAATTCATAATCCCCCCCTCTGTAACAGTCTTTGAGAAGACTGATTTCCCATGGTCGGAGGGATGTTCTTAATGGTCTCTGCCTCCAGCCCAAGCTGGACACTGTATTAAGGCATTTCCATAATGTGCACAAGGCTACATGAAAATCCCTTATTGTGGTTTGAAATACCACATCAACATCATCAACTGTGAAACGCCTAGTTTTCACTCGCTTAGGCGTGCTGGGAAGTACCAGTACCTATATATTTTCTTGATCATCAGACATTCTATATCAGCTGAGCTAGGATATTTTCTAAAAAGGTGATTAAGTTTTGCGTTTTTGGAGATGATCTCTCCTAGCTGGCAAATCAGCTTCCTTGTTCAGTGCTTTGATGATGTCATCTCCTTCTCTGTCAGAGGTTTAGAGAGACTCTAAGGCCTTCAGAAGTGGATTCCTGCTTCTTTGTGTAAACTGCACTCCTTTGCTTTATTTTTGGCTTCTCTTTTGCTTCTCCCCCAAACAGAATCTTATTCCTGCCCCTTTGCTTTATTTCACAGTTTTTGAGAAGTTTGTCCTCAAATTCTACTCCTAAATATTCTCTCACTTTGAGGACTGTTTTCTAACTATGTTAAAGCCTGATGACTTGTCTGCTTTCATCCACTGTTGTTGTTTAGTGCTAAGTTGTGTCTGACTCTTTTGGAACCCCACAGACTGTAGCCCAACAGGCTTCTCTGTCCGTGGGATTTCTCAGGAAAAAATCCTGGAGTGGGTTGCCATTTCCTTCTCCAAGGGATCTTCCCAACCCAGGGATTGAACCTGCTTCTTCTGCTTGGCAGGTGGATTCTTTACCACTGGGCCACCTGGGAAGCTGCTTTTGTCCCCTAGCCCTCAATAATACCGAGGTCCCTGTTCTGCCCCCCCAACACCCACCCCCATACCGAGTCAGAAAGCTGTTAGCATAATGAGAATTGGGCATTTCCTTTTTTCTAATGATAAAAGCATTGGATGTTTTTTCTTTGATACCTAGTGTGTTATGGGTGCACCATACACATGAAACTGGCTGACTCTTGCTATACGTGTGTAATTGTGTTCTTTTCTCTGGTGTTAGCAGGGTTTCCTTAATGCTCAGATGGTCGCCCAGCGCAGTAGAGAGCTGCTGAGTCATCACTTCCGGCAGCAGAGGGTGGCGATGATGATGCAGCAGCAGCAGCAGCAGCAGCAGCAAACCCAGGCCTTCAGTCCACCTCCGAATGTGACTGCGTCCCCCAGCATGGATGGGGTCCTGGCTGGGCCTGCCATGCCGCAAGCTCCACCCCAGCAGTTTCCATACCCACCAAATTACGGTATACTCGACAGTGATCATGTCTACCCCCAAGTAACGTTCCTGAGGACGTAATGTTCACTAGATGTGTTGTATGTTAAAAACAAATGCTATTCACTCTCCTATTATTTCATAAGAGAAACAGATTAACTAAAAATAGCAGAACAAAACTCTACTTGAATGCACAGGTGATTGTCATTGAGGTAGATGATTGCTCAGTAGCTGAGGTTTCTCCCCCTTGGTCTTGCTTTTTCAGTTCCTCACATCTTAATTTGGAAGAAAGCCTTACCAGGACATCCCTGCCCCATTGCTGAACAGTGAGAGGAAGGCACTGTGTAGGCTTCTGAGTTCCTTTCCTTGATGGCTTGGGCATATTAGTTACAGTCATGCCTCTCTGAGGTTCCAGAAACATGAAGGAGTGGGGCTCGAGGAATCTCTTGGGGAGCTGACATTTGAGGTGCATCCCTCGGCCAGGGACAGCAGCGCCGTGCTCTAAAGAGGGCTGGAGGGCGGAGGGCCGTGACCTGGTGTCCTTGTGTCCGAAAGCTCACTGGGGTGGCTGCCCTTTGGGGATCCAGGGTGGAGGGATGTGACCTAGTGCCCCTTGTATCAGAAAGCTCGCTGGGGTGGCTGCCCTTTGGGGGATCCAGATGGGGGAGGGTCTGTATGGGAAGCTTGTTGCTCTGGTTGTCACCTTGGGGAGAAGCAAGAATTACTGACAGGCAGCATCTATATACCTTATACTTAACCACATTCCCCCACCTTTAAAAAAAAAAAAAAGAACCTCAAGTTTCTGTAGAAAGCTGATATTCTAGGGAGGTAGTGTTTGAGCTGGAGAAGGAAATGGCAATCCACTCCAGTGTCTTTGCCTGGAGAATCCCAGGGACGGGCAGCCTGGTGGGCTAACGTCTATGGGGTCGCATAAAGTTGAACACGACTGAAGCGACTTAACAGCAGCAGTGGCGTTTAAGCGTTGTAATTTCCTTTTCTTCTTTCTTTTTTAAAGGGATGGGACAACAACCAGATCCAGCCTTTGGTCGAGTGCCTAGTCCTCCCAATGCAATGATGTCATCAAGAATGGGTCCCTCCCAGAATCCCATGATGCAGCATCCTCAGACCACACCCATGTATCAGTCCTCAGAAATGAAGGGATGGCCGTCAGGAACCCTGGCCAGGAACAGGTGAAGAGCAGGGCCTTCTTTCTTCGCTGTGTCACCAGGCTTGCAGGACCTCAGTTCTCTGATCAGGGATCAAACCCAGGTCCTGTGCAGTGAAAGTGCAGAGTCTGACCACTGGACTGCTGGGAAATTCCTAGAACAGGACTTTGAAAGTCAGCCACTAGAATGTGCCGAAAGTTCAGGCAATTAGTCTCTTGTTTTGCAACCAAGCCTGTTTGGATGGGGAGATCCAAAGGCCCTGGCTGATACTAGAGAGTGTTATTTGGCTCATCCATTCTGAGACACCTTCCTACTGTGTGCATATCCACAAGGGTATGAGCACAGACAACTGTGAAAGAGAGAAGACAGGCTGTCCAAGTTTTCTCACTCATGTTCTCTGCTTAAGCACAGCAACACTGACAGAATTGTGGTGGTCTCTGTGTGCCTGTCCTTTGTTTTGAAAATGACCCAGGAGGTAATTTCCCACTTTTCTTTACAGCAGCTTTCCCCAGCAGCAGTTTGCCCACCAGGGGAACCCTGCAGCGTACAGCATGGTGCACATGAACGGCAGCAGTGGTCCCATGGGACAGATGAACATGAACTCCATGCCCATGGCTGGCATGCCCATGGGTCCTGATCAGGTACAGGGTTTTGTTCCTTCCCTTTCTTAACATTTTTTCGCCTGTTCTCTGGAGAGAACCAAAGCCTGAACTATAATGTAAAGGTCCTAGATAGATTTTTAACTTGGATGTTTTAACTTAAAATATATAATCCTTGAAAAAACTTTTGGTTTGAAGGCATTGGGCCATTTGATACTTTTAGAAACCTGGTATCTAAGGACTGAATCAGTCAGCCAGAGCCATGTGGCAAGCCATCCTGGAGACACAGGGATTCTTTTCTGTTGGACAAAGTGTATGTTTTACTCATGTTTCTTCTGGTTGCCAACAGAAATATTGCTGACATGTCTACACCATGACCTCCAAGGAAATCACTGTACAAATGACACTGCGCTAGGATTCCCGGGAGTAGTGAATCATTGTTCTAGGCACCCAGCTTTGAAGAAAGGATCAGCTCCAATCTCCATCAATGGTATTTCAAGTGATGTCATTTGAGCAGGACTGAATTTTAAGCTGAAGTGTGGTATCTACTTGTTTTCTTTCCCTCCTCCTATGTATCATGGTGTTTAAAACAAATATTTTTGGCATTCTGCCTTTTGGGGATATGATTCTGGAGGTACGGAGTGTTACTGATTGCAGACTGTCCTGTGTCACTTTTTTTCTGCTTGGCTGTCCAGAGTCTTTGGAAAAAATGGAGGTGGGGCCAGAGAACATTGGAGAAATCAAGAGATGAGAACATCTGGTTTCTTGATAGTTGCTACGGTACTGGGTGAAGAGTGTGGTCCACTTACGAGGGTTTTTTCACAGGCTCTGTCTTGTGAAGGTGGCATATCCAGGTTCTCCTTTAAGGATAGCTCCCACCCTCCTCTTGGTTGTCCTAGGCTTTTTCCTAAATAGGATTTTAATCTGCTCCTAACGTCCTATAATACTTCACCTCCAGGAATTGTCCTTGATGTCAGATGGCTTTGCAGAAGGGAAATGGACGACAGTATTTAATTGCAGCGGTGGCAGTTTTTCACTTGCTGACGTGCAGCCGAGTGCACTTTATTTAAAAAGTAATGGATACATGCAATATTCTCTCGGTCTTGAGGAATGGTGAACCACATTCCTAGTTGTTGTCTAAACTTACCTCTTGGACAAGAACTACGATTTTTGTTGTTGTGAAAAGTACTGGTTTCACCCTTTGCCTATATGGTAGAGCAATAATGCTTTTTGAAAATAAACTGCAGAAACCCCAAGGCCAGGTACTGCATTCTGAATCAGAATTTTGCAGTGTTTCTGTGAATAGATTTTCTTTTGTAAATATGACCTTTAAGATTATTGTATGATGTAACATATGTATATATACTTTTTTTTTTTTGTAGGCCACAACAACTCATTTTTACAGAGTTTGTGAAGCTAAATATTTAACATTGTCAGTTTCAGTAAGTTCAGTGTGGTGAGGTTACCAACAGAAGTCGTGCCCTGAATTTTGTGGCCTGGGGGAGGGGCTGTGGCCAACAGGTTTTCCTTGCCCCTATCCTTTGATGCCTCGCTCCTGTTCAGTCTCTTAATCTAAATGCTTTAAGTGATCATTTAAATGTAGGCATTTATGTTTTTCAAAAACATTTCTCTACCAGATTAAGCACTTCGTTAATTTGGGGGGAGAGAACAGATAAGGGGAAATACACTTAAGAAAAAATCAAGAATTTTAAAAGATCAAGCAATTTGATTTCAAAGAAGAATGTTGGGTTTTTAGGCAGTCCATAAATAGTAAGTCATGGTTTTTTTTTTTTTTTTAATTGAACATGTCATCTTCTCATCCATTTTAGGAGTGCTCTAAGGTTTTGGTTGCTAGGACTTGAATCCCACATTGAGATCTCAGGCGGAGAATCCTTGATGTGTGGTTTCTGGTATCTGCTCAGCTGTCTTGTCCTTTTCCTACTGTGATGTCCCGAGAATCGGAGGAAGTAGCATCATGGTTATTTCCTAAAGAGTTCTGTCTGCAGAGCAGCCATTTTCATGTGATTCAGAGCCAGGGTCTTGACTGGGCGCCTTTGTATTCCCTCTCTCCTCCTCCGCCACCCCTTTCTGCTGCTGCCACTCGTCAGTTGGGAATAGGGAAGAAAGTCGTTTGATTCCCTTTACCTGGCTTACTTTATCAGGTTCAAGCAGTTGAATGAAATGGGGTTTTTAGACTTATCTATGAATTTCATATGTCTGTTAGCCTTGGTGTCATTTCTTAGCAATAACTGAGAGCCAGTTAAAATTTTTTTCACCCGTTTAGCCAATCTTTCTAGGTGTCTCTGAAGGTAAGATCATTTGATTTCTTTGACTTGCGTATGACTAAGTGAAACCTGTATTTCCAGAAACACCACTAAAGTGGATTTGAGTTTCGCACTCCCCCACCTGGTTAAAAGTAAATCTAAGACTACAAATCCATTAGCTTCCATCCCAGGGGCCTGCACTTTGCAGATTATGCATCCCCCGGTCTGGAGACTGAGGCAGAGCTGAGTAAGAGTCTCTTTTTAGACACAATTGCATCAGGTATATCTGAACCTTTCTTGAAGTTGCATGTATGTGGGGAGAAATAGAATGGTGCTCTTACCTTTCTTGACTTTTAATTAAAAACTCAGTTTTGGGATTCTTTTTCTCAGTCCATTCTGACTCCAGGCTAAGTGGAAGGCAACACCCCCTTTTTATATGGAAGAAAAGTGAAGTTTATTATGTTTTTATATTTTCTACTTGTTCATTTTATTGGTGCAAATTTAAGATTTTGATTTTCTTTTAATAGATGGCAGTCTTTGAGATAATTTGTTGTTTTTACCTTAATTCCCCTTTTATTTTTTATGGATAATTCTTTGTACTTCTGCTGCCTACCTCTCCTCCGCCCCCCTCCCATCACTTTTTAAACCTTAGTATCTGTTGGGTGAACAGTATAAGTAACGTTTTCATCTGCTTTTAGAATGTGAGATATTTCCAGTACCTACTTTTTTGCTGAATCCAAAGATATATAAATATAAATATATATTTTATAAAGATCAAAATGATATAAAGGAGATAACATTTCTTCCTTTTAAAAAACAAATAGAAATCCATTGTTAATGTTCATATTATGATGCCGCTTTTCTAAATCATGCATCTTGATGGAAAGGTGTAAATATCAATCAGCAGGATGCTTAATCGGTATTTAATGGCTGAGGTGAACTGGGGTGTATGGGGTGGGTACTACAGAACAGAGTTGGCTTGCTGTCCTCTAAGTTCCATGATCCATAGACCCGATGCAGCTGAAAAGTAAACAGAATGGGTTGCCAGTTACCCATATGCCTGTTCAGTTAGTTCCCTTTTTATTTGCAGAAGCCATGCATTTGTTTGCAAGTGGGAAATTCATAGTAGTGAAGCCGCTCGGACAGATGAACTGTCCCCTTCTGCATAAGAGCAGGAGCTGCTGTTCAGCTCCAAGGCAGGCTGTGTAATCGTGAGCAGGGCGTTTTCTCTCTCTCTCTTTTGAAGAAGATGGAAATGTCATTCTGAGAGCAAGATTTAAATTCTCAGGAATTGACTTACAGTATTGAGAATGAATTCACTTTAAAACAAGTTTACATTAAATGTTTGTAAAAAATAAAAATCATGCTTTACACTGCAGAAAATTCAAACCACGTGGGCTAACTTATGAGACAGTTGAGTGGTAAGCTATGACTCCTTTAATCATTTTGGACATCATTGTAAATAAAGGTTTCTATTTAAAATTGAAGGCCAAGAGTGTGCCGCTTTTTTTTTTTAAATCCCAGTCAAGTTCAGGTTAAAATATAAGAAATTGTGTTTCAGATAATGGATAAAGGTTTCTGTGAGGTTAAAAGAAATCTTGCAAAGCATGGCCCTCTTCTTACACACAAGGTAAGTGCTTAGGGGTCACCTGTTAGGGAGAAATGTGCAGAGCCAGGAAGTTCCTCTTCCTCCTCCTCCCAGTCTAGCGTTTCCACAGCTGCCTTTACTGGTCGGACTGCCTGGTACATGGAGAAGGGCTGGCTAACGTGAGTAGCTTTGCCGTTGGTCATTATGTTTACAAAGTGTGATCCTAGAGCTGGTGTGATATGAGACTTATCTTTAAGGTTCCCAAAGTATGGTAAATTCTAGCCAGTTTATAACCACATATAGCCCTTTTAAAAAAACCATCTAAACCCAAGGTGTCGCCTCTTCCAAAAAGGTGTTGACTGGTAGTATCTCAAATGCTTTTCTTTTTAAAAACAAAAAAACCAAACACACCAAAAAAAAAACTCCCAAGAAATGGCCTTTTAGAAAAATGTCAAAGGTTACCTCATACCAACTGCTGGTCATTGGCTGGGGTTTTCAACACTGTATGACAATACGTAGACTACAAAATTTCTTTACAAATACAGTCTTGTTAAAACTTGGGACATACATCAACTTCCTGTCTTTGCAGGACTTTAAAAAACATCAGTTCTGGGACAGATAACAAAGGAATCCTGGGAGAAATGGCATCTGGTCAGGAAGAGGAATGTCCACAACTGCACGGGGTTTTCTTTTACACGGGCCACACCATTTATTAACACCACCACTCCTGAAAATTGGGTTTTCTTATTAGATTCCCTTAGAAGTTTCCGAGCTGGTTACATGTAAATAGTCACACATATACATTGAAGTCACTGTCTTCAGAGGCAGCCAGGGTTATAGGGCGAGATAGAAATTCGTGTCTTTTGTGCTATTGACTCATTGTCAAACTTGGTGCACCATTTCCTGCCTCTGTCCTGCTCCTCCTTTGTGACGAACCAAAAGAATAAGAGGATCTAAAACAGGGTGGCTCTTCCCTGTGATTTAAAAAAATTCCAGTGACTTTCGCCCTTGGGGGAAATTTCCAAGAAAATCTCTCTGTTCTTCTTCCCTTTTGAGCCCCTCAGAGAGGGTTAGTGGTGACTTTCTGATATGAAAATGCATTTTGTGCAGCTGGTGAGGTATAATCCAAAGCAAAAGCAGGGACAAGCATGGACTTCCGGAAGTCTCACTGCTCCCGTTGGTTCTCGTCCAGAATCTGCCGCATTGACTGAAGGCGGGTTCTGTGTGTCTCAGCCTCCTGGCTAACAGCACAGGTCTGCTGGAAATGATTCAGGGTTTTCACTGTACAGGCGACGCCTCTGTTTTTGGAGGTCCAGCTCATGCTTCTTAACCTTCCCAGCCTTCCCACAGCTGTCCCCTGTAGAGCAAAGCGGACAGTGTATCACGCTGCTGAAGCGTTTCTTACTCGGCCCTACAGCTGAGTCGGCTTTGCTTCAAGGATGTGGCTGCTGAGAAGGAATTGACTCCAGATCCCTCTGACAGGGCTTGCTGGTATCTCATCATCTAGATTGTCAGTTGTTGGCTCACACCTAGTGACTGGCGAAGATGATGTTTAAGGATCTGGACAGGATGGTGGCTAAGGAATGTGAGAAGTACTTTGATTCTCCTTGCACCAAAGAAATGCTTAATTGGCCCATTATTATTTTCCTGTTAAAGCCAAACAGACTTATGTGCATATAATGATAGAAAATGAGGAGGCCGGAGGTTACAAATGGCAGCTCGCCACGGGGTGATTGGCCTGCACGGTAACTTCACATCAGATTAGTTGCCACCATTAACAAATTATTGTTATATATCTGCATTTCTGCATTTTCTCAATGAGTCAGAGGATTCAAATTGCATCCCAGTCTGTTCTCTTTAAAGCAGAGTGACCTCTCCAGGTTGCCACAGCCTCCTGGCCCCTCATAGCCTCTGCTGACCCTAGTGTGGGTGAACTCGTAGCATGGGTGTTCTGGAAACCATTTAATGAGGTCACTTGCTGCTGACACTATGGACCAGGGAGCAGCTCGGCAGCCACAGCCTTCAAGATGCCTGGTACTCAGCCGACTGACACGCTTCTGAGCCTCTCAGGGAGGCCTTGAGCTTCCAAAGCAGAGATGATGATGTGGAGAAAAAGTATTGATCTAGTACATGCAGTGTATCCAAGTAGGCTATTTTACTGGAAAGACTGACACGGCTGCTTCCTGTCTTATGGGAACAGACGAGAGGAATGAGAAAGGGCATGCATGGGAACAGCCTCGCAAAGCAAACCGGGTCAGACCAGCTCTAGTGGCAAACTGGTTCCTCAACTCACAGTGATTTGGAAGAAGGTCTCTTCATTTCTGGCCACTTTCGACGCTGAAACTGCCTAAGTTTTCAAGTGTCAAAAGGAGAAACAGTATTAACCATCACCAAGAAAGAGAAAGTGACCCCCAGAGAACTACACGAAGAAAGCCTTTTAGGGGACAGCTCTTGCCAGTGGGTGAGCCAGGCCCTGGCAGACCAGCGATAGGGCAGCACCCCAGCCTCACACGTGCAACCTCTGAGATTAGACTACAGGACGGGTCACCATACAGGGCAGTTCTCAGGCTTTAAAAGCAATACCTGTATTGCTCATAGCTTCCTCCATCTTTCAGTCCTAAAGGAGAGAGAAACGTACAACGTGGAAACATAATTTTAGGGCAAAAATGGCACCAGCAAGGACAAACTTTATAACTGTCTCTCTTCTTTCTTAAAACATAGTGTTTTGGTCACAAGCCCATGATGTTGTAGTGGCCCCTACACAGAGGGGCCTGAGTTCCCAGCAGTCCCCAAGACTCTGTCAGTCACGTATACTCTGAGGGCCTCTTTTTCACTTTCAGGCTCCTGTCAACAGACATTCAGCACTAACCTTGGCCATTCATGGTGGGGGAACCCATGTGTGGGCATGAACACCTGTGCTACCGAGGACAGACAGTGGGGAGATCCCAGCTGTGGGCTCTTGGTAAATTTCCTAGAGGATGTGGCAGTGTGACCAAGTGTGTGGGCTCTGGACCCAGTCCCATTACTCATCACTAAACGAGGACATGCAGATTTACCTCAGAGGGTTGTCAGAACGCCTGTCAGTTAATGCCTGGAAAACACTCAGCACTCTGGCGGGCACATAGTGATAAATCTAAGTGGTGGCATTCATCATAAAAGTAGCACATGGCTGGTGGATGTTAGAGAATTCAGCAACTCCTGGTGGTTCTGAGTTCACTCTTCAGATGGGCCCTCCTCAAGCCCCTCCTGTGGTCACCCCTTTCCACCCTGGGGCACCTGCTCACCCAGGTCCATGTTCCGGGTCCGGGGGTTACACTGCTTGTAACCCTTGCAGCTCCTCAGCTCCATGAGCTGCACGTGTAGCTGATTGAGGACGTCCCTGTCCAGGGTGTTCACTGCATTCATCAACTGGTTGGAAAAAAGGTAGGTTATCAACGAGATGAGGATGGGAGGCCCCCCACCCTCTTCTACCAACCAGGGGGCCTAATTTGGGCAGGTGGGGAGTATGTGGTTGGTAAGGGGTGGTGACATCTACCTCCACAAGTGCTGGGGTTTGGGACAGATGCCTATAGCCCCATGTGCATGAAATCTCAAAAACAACCATGTATTTCACACTGAACTCCTGGAACTACCGGTCAGCAAATGTACCAAGCCTGAAAGGACCCTCTGAGGTCCTCTTGACGGGAAGGCAGCTATTTGGCAAAGGTCTGTGTGAGTGTCCTGGTCCAGGTACTGCTGTGACCCACTAACTTATCAGCTCAGTCAACCCCTTTTGTAAAATACGGGGATGCCCAGTGGCCTATATGGTGATTAATAGCAAGACAAGACAGTCGAGTTGCTGGCATTTACAAAAGGGTATAAAAAAAATTGCTTTCGGGCTTTTCTGTAGAAGACTGGACAGTGCCAAGGCCATGCTACTGAGAATCTCTATGCTGAAGCTGGGTCATGACCATGTTTTATAAGGGACAGGCAAGTTCTGCTCACCAGGCTCTCTGGCTGCTTCAGTCCTGTGCGTGTTCACATGGGTTAATATATGGAAGTGCAGAGTAAGGGCTGCCTGATTGTTAGTTAGGCCTATGGTCTACAGGGTTTGGCCTGACCCTAAGGACCCCTGAAGCTCCAGGTTCTAGGCGTTCCCCAAGATCCCACAAAGCCTGCTGTAACGGTCCCAAGTGGGTAAGTTGGAGGAAAGAGGCTATGGGTGATCCATCATAGACTGTGGAGTTTGGAGGATGCAGGCAGGCAGGGTGGGTGGCACCCTGAGCCCCAGCCTTCCTGGTGGCTTCTTCCGACTCCGTGGGACTTGGAAAACCTGTCGGTCATTTCCGCTGGCCACCTACCTGGCAGGGCCCCCTTTCTCCAGCCTGTGTTGTGTGTACCTGGTAGGGGTCTGTGTTGAGATCGAAGTACTCCAGGAAGCCGGTCGCGAATTCACAGAAGAGGAAATTGTGGGTTTCGTTGATGGTCCTCATGCACCAGTACGTGTTGTTGTTGGCGCTGGTGCAGGCGCAGAAAGGCCCCACTGCCAGGGGAAAGCGCGAGCCCTGAGCCAAGGAAGCCTGGCCGCCAGCCCCTTCCCGCCCTGCCTGAGGTTGCCGGGGGGCCTGCTCCTGAAAGACCCGCAGGGTCTGGCGGGAGCACTCCCAGGCTGGGGGGTGGGGGATGCTGGGACCCTGGAGAGGACCCCCGCCCTGGGCGCGGCCGGCTCACGCGTCCAGAGGGGCGCCGTCTGCCAGTGCTGGTTGTCGTGGGTGAAGCACGTGAGGCCCGGCATACTGCACGTGTCGTTGTTCTGCAGGCGCTTGAGCAGCTTGCGGAGCTTCTTCTTGCGCTTCTGCTCCCGTAGCAGCCACATCTTGTCCTTCTCCTGCAGACCCTTCCTAGGGGCACACAGGGCCGCACCCCTCACACCTCCCCCGGCCCCACGTGGGCGTTTTTTCCTGCCCCGGGAGCTGTGGGCCTGGCCCTGTAGACTTCCCAAAGGGCCTTCCAAATCCTACTGCTGGTGCGGGGCAGGGCTGGAGCCAGATGAGACTCCTGTCATCCTGCATTAGCTCCCAAAGCAGCACAGGGGTGGATGGTATCAGATGGCTGGGCCTCCTACTCGCACCTCCTCTCTGGGGCCTGTGTCTGGCCCTGCCCTGCCATAACCCGCTCTGCACACAGGTGGTGCCTGGAGCCAGGTTTAGGGTTGATCTGGGAGTCAGGGCTCTGCAGGGCCTGCTGCGTCTCCCCAGGAAAGGCCAGGACTCACTTGTCCTTATTTGATTCATCTTAGGGGAGGGCCTGCAGCTGCCCTTACCTGAAAGGATGCAGGCTGGAGCCTTTGTGCTTGAGGCGGCCTTTGTGCTGGGCGTGGTAACTGCAACAGACCCCCCCAGCCCAGCTTTCAGACACTGTGCCCAGGGCCACCCTAATGGGTGGCTGCAAACTGCGCTTCTCTGGGACCTGTTTCTCCTCCTGGGCCATGGTGGGGACATACCATCCCCAGGGTGGCAGCCCGCTGCCCACCTGGCTCCTTCCCCCACGTGTGAGCTGGGAGACCCTGGCTGAAGGCCTTGGCCAGACACGGAATGTCAGGGTAGGTGTAAGTTAATCAAGCCGGGAGGCTGGACCTGGCTCCAGGTGGGTTGCCTCCCGCTCCCCTGCCCGCCCAGCTTATGCTTGGTCAGGGCCAGCCCTGGGGAAACCCAGAGTGTGTAAGCCCTTTCTGGAAAGGCAGCAGGGACTGTAGCAGCCACTAGCCACCTGGGGCTATTTCAATTTTAATTAGCGATTCAGTCTTCAGTTACAGTGGCTGCCGTTCAGAGCTCTGTAATCACAGGTGGTAGCTTGGCCGTCACCAAGCTGGACAGCACAGGTACAGCCCCTTCCTTCACCACACTGGTTGGACAGCGCACTTGTGAGTTCCAACCCTTGCACTGGGGATTCCCTGATCTGGTAATGTGGTTCCCAGGCCAGGTGGGCTCTTCCTGGAAGGGCTTGTCAGTGGAGGCACGTTTCCGTCTGGGAAACTGGCTCCATAGTCAGGAGCTGCCTGAACTCTGGATGTCTGGCTGGTACCTGAGAGGTGGTGACAATGAGGATGTGCATTATTTCTGGTTACTGTTATCGTGTTTAAGCAAGGGATATAAAAATAATGAGAGAAGTCACAGAGGGGATGTTGTGTCCCTAGGAGGGATCCTGCAGGGGTTCTAGGGGCCTCCCACCTGATTTTGTGACAGTCACATTCTTCTGGCCGCTTTCTCTTCAGGTGACCTCGGACTTCCCTTAGGTTCTTGATTTTGTTCTGCAGGGTCTCGATCTGAAGGAGGAAGCAGAAGACGAGGCCGTGAGACTCTCGGGGGCCGGGTAAGAAGGGCCGGCCTGGCAGGGCCCCCAGTCACTGCCCGTGTCCGTGGTTTCTGAACTGGGTCCTTGGTTCTACCGGCTGAAGGAACCAAAGGTCATTCTGTCTGGTCCTGCCTGTGAACCAGCTGAGCCCTTGGGGGACTTGAAGGTCTCCCCCCAGGCTTGTTGGAAGGAAGGGCTGAGTGTGGAGTAAGCATCTTGTACATCACAGAGGGGTGTGTCACGGTCGCGCGGTCCTTCCCTGCCCCTCGTCCCCCAGCAGGAGCTGTCTGTCTGAGGCCAGGACCGACGCTGCCGGCCCTGGTGAGGATCCTGCGGGGCCTCCGTCCCCTGGGCCCGGCCTCTCTGCCTCCTCCTTTGGCCATGGCCCCGCTGAGCTCGAGGTGGCGAGAACCCTCCCGGCGCAGACTCCCTTCACCTCGTGGTCAATGTGCAGCTTGTGGTCCTTCCAGGCCTGCAGGGACTTGTACAGGTCCAGGTCACACTGGACCGTGTCGTTCTCCAGGATGTAGCACCTGTTCGAGAAAAGGGGTCACGTAGGGCCCTTGGGGGGGCGCTGTGTACGCCCCCACTGAGGACCCAGCCCATCTCCTTGATCCCTGCCTGGGCTCTCACCGATGTGTGACTTTAATGGGGTTAGGGGCCGAGTAGTCCGGGAGGCCCCCAGTGCCACTGAAGTCCCCGCCGTCCCTGTCCTCTTGGTCCTCAGGGGCTCCTGGCCAGTGCCGCTTAGTGAGGTTGCGGGGCTGGGACGCGTCGTCCGGGCTGACGTGGTGCCCCCTGACGGCCACGGAGCGGATGGAGCGATTCCGGGCGTAGCTGGCCTTGTACTCTGTGGGCGTCAGAGGGGAGGCTGGGGAGGCGGGCCGGGCTCCCCGGGCAGCGGGCCCTTGATTCAGACGGAGCTGCACTCCCAAGCTGGGGCCTCAGGAAACCTACGCTTTGGAAAGCTGGCTTTAGATCTCACTGAAAGGACCTCTAGGTGATTCAGCTGGGGAGACTGACGTCCTAGAGCTGAGGAGGAACTGGCCTGAAATAAATCTCAAGGAAAAGCTGTGCATAGATGAACATCTGGGATGTCCATGTGGAGGAGGATTCAGACACTAACTCAGAGGTGTCCACACCCCCATGTCCACTGCAGCATTATTCACAAGAGCCGAGGTACAGGAACAGTCTAAGTGCCCACTGATGGATGCACGCAAAATGGAACATTACTCGGCCATAAAAGAGGAGGAAATCTTGCTGTTTGTGACACCAGAGGTAGACCTTGAGGGGGCTGTGCCAAGTGAGATAGTCAGAAAAAGACAAGACAGTGCGTGACCTCACTCACCTGTGGTATCTCCAGCCAACCAAGCCCACAGGTACAGAGGACAGATCAGGGGTTGCTGAGGCAGAGGGGAGGGTGGGTGAAAGTGTCAGAAGGGTATTAACAAACTTGAAGTTATAAAAGTCCGTCCCGGGGATGAAGTGGACAGTGCAGCAACCAGAGTTGTTAATACTGTGCTGCATCTTTGAAAGTTTGCTGGAAGAACAGATCTTCAAAAATATTTTTTTGTGACGTGTGTTAAGTGGACTTTTGGGGTGATCATTTCACAATATATACAGACATCAAATTGTGACATTGTACTCCTGAACTAATGTAATATGTGAATTTACACCACAATAAATCCTCAGAAAACAAAACCAAGAAAAAAAAAAACCCCACCAAACCATTCATTTGAACTGGACAAAAAAAAGAGCCAGGCAGCACGTTCTCCCAGACTGAAAAGGGAGGCACTGGGGAGGCCTCTGGTCTCGGATGCCCTCTTCGGGGAGGGCAGTGAGGTGCAGCTGAGAAGTGTTTTTTTCCTACGCTCTAAGTCACCTGTGGGAAACAGGACATGCAGGTCCTGGGACTCAAGAGCAGGCCGTCCCAAGACAACACAATGGCATACTGATTATTTTGAATTCAACACAGCCAGTGGGGGAAAAAAACGGTATTAGAAAATGCTCGGACTCTCCCTTACACATGAGAACACCTCCCAGGCCTCCTGCAAATGACTAGGAGGAATCTCGGCTGGAGGCTGATAGTCGAGGTGTGATAGGAGTGATATGCTAGGCATTTCTCCCTAAAGTCAACTGGTCTAAGGTTGAATTCTGTACTTGGAAGGAAAGCATCCCAAAGCCTTTTTGAACATTTCATGCAAATTTTTCAAAGGCACAGTGCCCTTAGCTCAGAAGATCCAGTGTATAGAAAGCTCTTCAGGTCTGCTCTAGTGGCAAAGCGTATCCCTGACACTAGAAAGCAAATTCACAATAGTGTGGTTGGTTGGTCTAGGCCACTGCTTAGTGTAATAATGAAAGCTGGAGCTCAGTTCTTTGCGAATAGTTCTCAGGAATGCAAGGGAAAAAATGAGTTGAAAGCAATAATTCTTGGTTTGCAATATGAACCTTTAGAAAAACAAAAGCATCACACCTATGGTCAGTGAATCTTCGACAAAGCAGGCAAGGATATACAGTGGAGGAAAGACAGTCCTTTAGCAAGGGGCGTTGGGAAAGCTGGACAGCCTCACGTAAATAAGCGAAGTTAGCGCACACCCTCACACCATACACAGAGATAAACTCAAAACGGCTCAAAGACTTAAACACAGGACACGACACCATCAAACTTACGCAAGAGCGCATAGGCGAAACATCTCTGATACAAATCGTACCAAAGTCATCTTAGGTCAGTCTCAAGGCAATAAAAATGAAAAGCAAATGCGACCTAATCAAACTTATTACAAGCTTTTGCGCGGCAAAGAAAACCATAAAAAGACAGCCTAGCAACTGGGAGAAAATATTTGCAAACGATGCTACCAATGACAAGGGATTAATTTCCAAGGTATATAAGCAGCTCATACAACTCAATAACAAGAAAAGCATCCCATCAAAAAAACGGGCAGAAGACCTAAGACATTTCTCCAAAGAGAAAGCACAGATTTTTTTCATACACATGAAAAAATGCTCAACATCACTAATTATTATTAGAGAAAATTAAAACTACAATGAAGTTGTACCTCACACGTCAGAATGGCTATCGTTAAAAAGTCTACAGATAACAAATGCTGGACAGGGTGCGGGGAAAGGGAACTCTCCTACACTGTTAGTGGGAATGTAAATTGATGCAGCCACTATGAAAAACAGTATGGAGATTCCTTAAAAAACTAGAGTTGCAATCCTATGCCTGGATGTGTATCTTGAGAAAACTTGAAAAGATACACGCACCCCAATGTTGATAAGCACTGTTTACAGTAGCCAAGACATGGAAGCAACCTAGATGTCCATCAACAGATGGATAAAGAATAGGTGAGATTTTATACCTACACACAACGGAATATTACTCAGCCATAAAAAGAATGAAGCAATGTCATTTGCAGCAACATGGTTGGACCTAGAGATTATCACATTAAGTGAAGACAGATCCCATATGATGTCACTTATATGTGGAATCTAAGATATGGCACAAATGAACTTATTTATGAGACAGACTCGCAGACACAGAAAGCAAACATAAGGTTACCAAAGGGGAAAGGGAGTGGGGGAATGAATAAATTAAAAGTTTGGGATTAGCAAGTATAAACTACTATATACAAAACAGATAAAGTCCTACTGTATAGCACAGGGAACTATATTCAATATCCTGTAATAGACCATAGTAGAAAAGAATATGAAATACATCCATAAAACTGAATCACTGTGTTGTACACCCGACACACAACTGTAAATCAACTATACTCCAGTTTAAAAACTAGAAAACAAAAGCATGACCCTGAGAGAACTCCAGGCTCACTCAGAGCTCTTCCTGTTTGCCTCCAGACAACTGCAGATATTAAAAGAAATCAGGACAGTGGAAGAGACATTTATTTGTCCTACACTCGAGACAGTTTAAGGATGAATCCCCCTGGGCCCCAGCACACCCAGAGGATTCATTCTTCTTCTGAGGCACAATTCTCCCTCAAATGGGGTCAGCCAGACCTCAGTTATACCCTGGAGGCTACCATGGACTTAAAACAGAGGATTGGGTACTGATTTCTTACGCAGCATTGGTGTGCTTTTCTCTACCTGTCACTTCTGATTTTTATCCAAGCAGCCAGCCTCTGGACAACTTACTGCATTATCCACATCTCAGCCCACCCTGGTATCTTTCAGGGCCTCTTAATACCCATCCTATCTAATTTCCACCTGCTTACCAGCAAACCTTCTCAGTGGAGATGGGTTATTTAATGATGCTCATAATAAGAAAGGTGTTTTTATTTACTTGCCCTTGGACCAAGACCCAAATTCCCCATTTTTCTTATTAGGAACTCATGCTGATTTAGATTCCTCAGAAGAGGATGAGTCTTTACCAGATACCCCAAGTGGTCCTTGGGTCACACATGCTAATGAAGTTGGACTTCCATGAAGTGCTGAGCCTATATGCATGACCCAGATCTCTGCAGAGATGCAGAGTGAGGAATGAACCCCGTGACCGACTGTCTGATCTTAGACCTAGGTATGCTTGTCTTTATTTCCTCACCCTGTCTTTCTCCAATCTCACCAGTCACGAAAGAAGGGAAATGTGGCTCAGATGGGAACCGAACCTCTGGATTTGCATAAGACCTAAGAACCAAAAATTCTTGTAATTCCCAGGCACCCTGGTGTTCTTAAGCCAGCTGTTTCCCTCACCTCGACTCCTGCTGACCCAGCCTGGTTTAAGGTGACGGAGCTCTGGTCAGCTTCCTCTTCACTCCCCCGCACCTGATTCACAGCTTCTCTTTGCATATCTACCTTTCAAGGAAGACAGGTCACGAGGACTGGCATAGCCTCGGGGAAGAAGTTTTCCTCTCTCCTCCTAGGTTCTTCTGGCTGGTCTAAGAATTAAGTTGCCGTGAGAGAGAGAGAGTAATAGAATATCAAACAAAAGTTTAACAACATATATCCGTGGGCAAGACCCAGAAAAACCTGGAAACTGTCACCTGAAATACACCCTCAGCCAATGAGGATGTCGAGGGTGGGGAGAGCCAGTCGTGAGAGGTGACCAGGAAAACAGCAGTAAACAGGGTCACTGTGTCACAGATGCGAGCTCTTGCCATCTCCATGGAGAAAACGTTTTAGAGATTTCACCAGCCTCTTCTTCCAAGGACAGAGGGCGACATCATTACAAATGGAGATCTCCCTTACAAACATCAATGTTTCTTGCAAAAAAAACTCCTCCCACATGACTTGCATTCCCCCCCCCCCCGCCCCCCGCCGGGTCTACTGTTTCCTAGAAATTAACCAGCTCAAAATAACAGGTCAAAGAGACATATTTTAGGGTGGCAAATTCTGCTTCTCTACAAAGCTTTAAATTCGTTCTGTCCAGGGACTTCCCTGGTGGTCCAGTGGTTGAGACTCCATGCTCCCAATGCAGGGGGCGCAGATCGATCGCTGGTCAGGGAACTAGACCTCCATGCTGCAATTAAAAGAAAAGGTCCAGCACACCCAAATAAATAAAAATAAATATTATAAATAAGTTTTGGCCACATCTGCAGCTCCTGGCTGCCTGATGGTGATAAGGGTTACCATCTATACACAGCTATGAAGATGGCAGGATTGCTGCAGGCATCTAGGGCAGCCTTTTGCCTCAGTTAAGTCCCGCCCACATTTCTCATGCCAACTAGCTACTCCCCCACGCCCCAAGCTCACTGCCCACAGTGACTACAAAGCTAGCACTCTAACTGTAGCCTCCCCATTCATCTCTGTTTTCCATGCTGTGTGTGCTAGCTTACAAGTTTAGTGGGTGCAACACTTTTTAGGTGGTGAGAGACAACCTGTGGGCAGGCTCTTAACTGG